ACTAAGTCAAGATAAACAATTTAATACCAAACTCAATAAGTGAAACTGAAAGAGTCGAGCCGGACCCCTTAGAGGAAGATGAAGAAATCGATTTATAAGTTTCATTTTGTTTCAACATGATTTTACCGATTTTTAGAAAATTTTGAATTTCCTTGGTGTCAGAAAACAAAATAATGAAAAATACCCTTATTTTCTGTGACGTCCGAAATGTGACGGTTTTTGTTCAATTTCGCCATATTTCCGGACCGCCAAAATTTCGGTCGTCGCAAATTGGTCCGCCACAAAAATGTCTTGTAAGGTAGTAACCATATTTACTATGCAAAATGCCCCAACCACATAGTGTAAATTTATATAAAATTCAAATTCCATATCATCATGGAGTGTCCAAGCTATATCTGTACGGAAAGATAGAGAAAAATACAAATTTTTTGCTGAGCTACAGTCCCAGAACCGCACAAAGAAACATGCAAGAATTGTACTATTTTTTAAAAGAATTTAAATTTTGAACCCCTTAAGAAATACATGACCAAATTCGTCAATTCACTTGATTTTTTGTATCAGCTATCTCAAGGCATATAACTGATACTATTCAAAAGGATTCGTGCCAACTCCTTATAGTTTTTCCTCCCGAAATTCAAGAATCGAATAGTTTTTTTTACGCACCCTGTATCTTGAAATAAGTATGATAATTGATACTCACTAGACTGCTAATAGGGGTGGGCACGGATGGCCATATTTTTGGGTCATGTCATGAATTTTTAAACGGCCCTGTTTTTTAGGTAAAGGGACCTCCGGTTTTTCGGTTTAGGGTAAAAAAAAGCCCAAAATAAATATTTCCCGCCTTGTTTTCGGTTAGCGGGAAGGTCATTTTTGACTAAAATTTGCTTTATTTAATTCATTTTCACCTTTTATACCTAATTGTTACCCATGATTGTGAATTATTATTGATATAACAGGTAGGGTGGATGATTTCAGCCATCAAAAATCTATCTGGAGACCCCCATGGTGCCCGCATCTATGGAAACGGGTCATTTTGAAAAAATTCAAGCAAAATCAGCCAAAATTTTAGTTTTTACCCCTTTTAACCATACAAAGACTTTTCACATGGCCTAAATTATCCAGAAAGGTCATAATTGTACATTGTTACTTGTTTACCAACTATAATAAGTATAAAAACATTTATTTCACTATATTATTATTATTTAGCAGTGCTAAATTATAATATTAATATAGTGAAATCGGATTTTAGGCGATTTCTCAAAAACTGAGCCTCTAAGGCCTTAAGTATGTTCATAGCACTAATATAAACATGCATCTTAGGCACATTAAGGTTTATAGCGAAGGTCTGTATATCAATCAGAAGCTGAGATAATTTATAGTGGGGGTCGCGATATGGGCGGTAAAAAAGGGCACGATTCCAGGAAATGCCCCACTAGTGAATAAGTGTACCCAGGTAAATAGTGTTATTTAGGGTCATATGAGTTGGATTACATCGAGAAACTTTGTGGACGTCCCAATGTGAGCGGGATTGTTGGAAGGTGGCAGATACACGATTAAGAAACAAATTAATAATTATTCACAAGAATTAGAATTCACTAGAATATAATGCCTATCATGAATTTTTGTCCAGTCAGTCAAACATAATTTCAGTCGAAAACAAAATTTCAGTCAAACTTCAATTTTATGTCGTTTATTGCAATAAATATTAGGGTAAAACGATTCAATTTGATATTTAAAGGAACTTGAAAGCCTTATGAGTAAGAATTATAATTAGAATTAAGAGGGGGGGGGGGGGGGGGCAACCATATTAAATTATATTAAAATGTAGGTTTTTTTTCTAAAGATTTTTCTAAAGATTCTTAAGCCACTCTAAAGAAAAGTGCCATTAATCCAAAATCAGTCCCCAAATTTAATGACAAAGGGATGTGTTGTCGCTGCAAAAGTAAGTAAAACAAAAAATTTTTCCACGCATGTTGTAAGGATAAGACTGGCACACTTATGCCCACGTCTTATGTCTATTTGTGCACCGACTTTCCTGAGGAATATTTTGCCAGTAATTCACAAATACGGTAATACATATTCCGAAAGATATGGTGACTTTGGTTGGACATGTACATGTCCTAACTGTGAGAAAGCTCTCCTTGCAAAAACTACTGTTAAAACTGCAGACTCAACTTGCAATACAAGCATAGATAACACCAAGAGTATGGCTAGCACTAAGAGTGTGGCTAGTACCACCACTGATACGACTTCCAGCAGTGGCGATGAGAAGACCTTGATTGCAACATTGAGCAACTTTAAAGTTAGCTTACTGAAGAACTTATTTCCATTAAACTTAAATCACATGTAGATTCTTTGCTCACAGATATACCAAATTTAACACCAAGATCTTCCACCCTTAGTAGTGCATCATCTATCCCCAGTAGTGCATCATCTACTTATACAAAATCACTATACATTAGAATTAGAATTAGAATTAGAATTAGAATTAGAATTATAATCAAATTTACACAGCAATACAATAAGAAGAATGTCAGCGGTTTCTAAATAGAGTGGCAGACCTCATCGCCAGAAAAAGAAAAGAGAGGTATTGCGATGTGGTAAGACATGTAAGGACAAGAATAAGATTCGCTATGTTAAGAACCACACTCATAGCTCTTCGAGGGTACAGAGGGAAAAAATGGACAGCAAATATGAGACACCACTATCAGAAGTCTCTTATAACCTCATCCCTGCCCCTATGATGGAGTAGATGTGTATATATCTGATTGTTGATATTTAATATTATATAATATTGGTAGCAGTGGACAATTTCCGTTACCTCTGTATTGTGCTCTGCCAATTGCAACACTTGAATTACTTTATTGTATATATATACTGTTTGACACGAAATATTGTACGTTATACAATAAGAATAAAAAATATTTTAAGAAGCTTCAATCTGCTGTGCAGGACATTCAAGTCAGTCGAAAACTGTTTAAAGCAGAACACCCTTCTAGGGACATAAGGATATAGCATGTAAAAAATAATAAGTAATAAATTAATGAGTACTAATAAAATAAGATATGATTTAATAGTGAACTGTGGGCATGAAGGTAACAATTAATGTTGAAAATTACATAGATGCCCACTTTGGAATTTCGTTAGTAATATTATTTACAGTTATAATTTATCGAAATCAGAGACAAAAAGTTCAGTGCCAACTCATGGCGCTTATTACATAGACTAAAAGTCAAAATACGATTCTTTATTGACTCTGAAAATTTGATGCGACAATATTAAGGAATGGATTTAAGTAATTACAAATCGAGCAAATTCGCTCTTGCGAAAAATGAAACCGAGATATTAGCAATTTTTAATGTTTTTTGTGGTTTTTTGCCTTAACTAATCACATTTCAACAAATATTGAGGTACAAATTTTAGTGAATAATATGCAGTTTGGCTTTACTTTTCACATAAAATTGGTTTTGTATAAAATATTAATACTTGACCGATACGATTTTTGGGCTGACATTTTATTATCGTGTATGCCCATTTCCAGAAAATTGAGAACTTGCCGGAACTTGTATTGGTTGATGATGTCAACTCATTGAGATGGGTCGACGATGGGTTGACTTTTGCTTTCGATGCGAAGCAAGAATGCTAGTTCGCGCGGCGCGTCGAAGCGGCGAAATCCTCCAAGAACTTGTAGCGCTATGCATAGGGGGTGCAGTGCGCCATCGACAATAAGGCGCGCGCGCTGACCATTGAATGGTTTTTTTGCTCTTATTTCGGCCAGCACATTATTTTGGAAACAATCGAAAAGTTATTATACTTCCCATATAACAATTTTGTTGAAATTTGGTCAGCTTACGTAAACACTTATGCTTTACTGAACCTAATTTAGTTTGAGCAATTTTGATGCTCAGAATTTGAGTTATCAACGAATTTATACCTATTTTGTCATTTTTAGACCTCTTAATCAAGGTCAATCTCTCCCAACTAAATTAGGTTCAGTAGTTAAGTATGATTGGAAGGTTCTGACAAATTTTCAGCATGATTTATGTTTAGGAACCGAAGATATGACAGAATAATACGACAAAAATCAACGAATTTCGTCAAATTACGCGACTTTTACACCTAATTTGGCTCCAAAAGCCGCGCACCATCAAATATGGCACCTAGGCGAAATTCACTGATCATTCCAAAAAGGTATGATAAATTTGTTACTGTGAAAATTCTCACAGTCTCTAGAAAACGATGGTACAAAAATTTTGAAAATCCGAGCAAGTTTATTTTATCGTGCACCGCCTAGATAAAAATAAACTTGCTCGGACTTTAAAAATTTTTGTACCACTGTTTTCTACAGACTGTGAGAATTTTCCAAATACCAAATTTGTTATACCTTTTTGGAAAGATCAGTGAGTTTCGCCTAGGTGCCATATTTGATGGTGCGCGGCTTTTGGAGCAAAAGTAGCTGTAAAAGTCGCGTAATTTGACCAAATTTGTCCAAATTTGACCATTTTTGTCGTATTATTCGGACATATCTTCAGTTCCTTGAATGAGATCATTCTGGAAATTGGCGACAACCTTCCAATAGAGCTTTCACAACTGTCCGAAAAATTTGGTGGATATTGGAGTTGATATAGTGATCAAAATGGGGCAAATTACGCTGCTTTTAGCTGTAACATACCCAGATTTGATATTGAATAATTAACACTCTTTCGGCTTTGCTATTTGTGCTTGCCAGCCCTCACTTTCCACAACATCCTCCATACCATCCCTCACATCATCAATCATATCATCTCACTTTCATATCATTCCTGTCTACGTTGGTATGTCAGTGTGTCAGTCTATGGATTCTTATTATAATTATTTCTATATATCTATAATATCGCACATTCTTATTCACGTTGCTCATTATTATACTCTATACTACTCTTCTCTCTCCCAGGTCCTGAGGCCTGTCTGACGGGACACCACCCTGAACGGTCCACCGGCTGCCCCCGCCTCTACTGATAATGGTTAATAAGCAAACAGAAAACAACAAGAAGAAGCTCAGCCTGAATAGCCCGAAGTTCAAGACGCCTGAAATCCGGAGTCCAATGTACGGCAAATCCCAGGGTAGCACCACACGGAGTAGATCCAGGAGTGAAGGTGACCAGAAGAATGTTAACTCAACATTAGCTACCACACCGACAAGTTCAGAGAACCGAAGCCTTCTGCAAGTATCCCTTCTCAACCGCACGGGAGTATCACCAGGAATATCACCACTAGCAACCCCCTTCTCAGATACTGAAGCAGAGACCTCAGCCTCAGACAGCAACAGTGCATCACCGAAACCCAAGCCCAAGAAGAGCAAATGCCCCTGCAAGGCAACTTCAGGCGGGAAGTCTTGGCTCTTGACATGTTCGCGCTGTAACCAAGTCTGGCATTCTGCTTGTGCAAACCTTAAGGGCAGTGAACTAGCTGGCCAGAAAGCCATTGATGAAATACTTAAGAGTTGGGAATGCCCTTGGTGCTACACATGCCCTCATCCCTGCCCAAAAACACATAAGTCTGCCAAACTTGCATTAAAACTGGAGTCTTTATCAGAAGCAAATCAGGTGTCAGCATCAGTTATTGAATCTCTTGACGGCATGCTTAAGGCAAGATTTGCAGAAATCACCCAACCATCCAACAATCTGATTGATAGTATCCAGAAACAACTCAGCTCCCTGTCAGATCAGGTAAAGTCCATGCAGATCCCTCAGGCACCACCCCCACCACCCTCTGATATGCCCTCCACGTATGGACAGCAGCATCATCCAAGAGCACCTCCATCAGTTCCAAGGATTGAAGTAAAGGATACCCCCCTTACTCATAATTTTAAATGCATAGAAGGGATAAAGGAAGATTTCTTAACTCCTGATGAAGAGATGGAGCTCACAGACTTTCTCAAAGCTGAGAGTTTCACTAAAGAAGGTAAGCATGCCACAATCCAGTATGGCCAACATTACCACTACATGGGTGCAAAATCGGAACCAAAGCCCATGCCCACCCTGATTGGCAACATCATGAAACGTCTTAACACTGAATTCTCCTCCACACACCCCCAGAAACAGTTCCACTATGACCTAAACTCCTGCCTGGTTAACAGGTATGCAGATGGGAATGAAGCACTTCCTGAACATTCAGACAACGAGGGAGACATTAATCGGGTGTCATCGATATTCACAGTTTCCTTAGGCTCATGTCGAACACTTAGCTTTCGTGAAACTTCTACAGATAAGATTACGGAGATAAAATGTCAGGGTAGAAGCATGTACCATATGACAAAAGCAAGCCAGGAGTTTTTTAAACACTCAATCAAGCCTGAAACGTCTGATGAAGTAGGAATGCGATATAGTCTAACCTTTCGCTCAATCCACTGGTCAAATTTTAACTCCACAGTGCTTGTTGGAGATTCAAACTTTGGACAAATCAACTTTGGTACAGGTCGTGGAAAGATGGGACAAGCCACCCCTGGAGTTCGCCTCTGGGCAGCTACGGTTGAGGAGATCGATCCCTTGTCTTGTGTAGGTTACAGAAACGTTGTCATCATGGAAGGAACCAACAATTTAAAAGTAGATGGAACGGATGAGAGAGAGTTGTATACCAAGTATAAGAACAAAATCGCTCAGATTAGGAAATACAACCCACGTTGTAAACTGATAATCTGTCCTGTGCTGCCAACAAGGTCGCATAAGATCAATCGAAAAGTTAATGTTTTTAACCAGTATTTGTACAACGATCTCAGTCAATCTAATCTTAAAGTTCTAATTGTTGATAGCTTTTTGACATTTCTAGATAAAAGCACCAACCTGCTTAAGAACAGTCTAGCTAAGTCTGATGTGAATGATATTCTTCATATTAATGGCAAGGGCGTTGGTGCACTAGTCAAGTTAATTAAGAACTGTATTTTTACATCCAAGGATCATAACAAGTTAGTAGGTAGTAGATTGTACAGCAACACACTAAGAGGAGGACCGCCAGATGCAGTCTGATATAAATGTTTAAGATTAACTCAACTAAGGAGAAATGCGGATGCTGTAGCAAAAACATTAATATTGGCCAAAGATTTCTTGAGTGCCAAAGTTGCCAAAATATTATCCACAAAATTTGTTTCAAAACATCTGAATTCAAGCTGACTGATTCCATACTTCTCTGTAAAGTTTGCTCAAAAAGAGAAAACTTAATTTACAACCCGTTTAAGGACCTTTGTACCACAAATGAGGATCTCTTCAAGGATAGCGAGAATGACAAATTTTACTCCGAAAATTGGTCTGAGGCTATTGGAAGTCTTCAGACTGCCTCCTCTATCTTGGACAAATGCAGCTATTATAGATTGAAATCCTTACACCAGCACACCCCTGAAAACTCTGGCTTAAAAACTTTATTTTACAACATTGATGGTAATAAATCGAATTTCGACTTATTCCTCTCGGAACTTGCCACTCAAAAAACGAAATTTTCTATTCTAGCTTTAGCGGAAACAAATACAGATGCTGAGAACTGTGATGTTTATGCACTTGATGGATATTCACACTTTTACGGAGATAAACTCCAAGGCAAAGCTAAAGGCTCAGGCGTGTGCTTGTATATTCATGATTCCCTAAATGCAACAATTAATGACCAACTTTGCACAATCACACCAAATTTAGAAACCCTATATGTAACTATCAACCATGGAGATAGCAAACTCAATGTTGGGGTGTTGTACAGATCTCCAAACGGAGACTCAGTCAAATTTGATGAAGAATACACACAATTAATGTCCAAATTTCCAAAAAATGCAAAAACTATAACTCTTGGAGATTTCAACTACGATTTGCTTAAAAATCAGAGTAATAAAAAACAGGTTCAGAATTTCGAGAACACTATGCTCTCTTATGGTTACTTTCCTCTTATATCTCGTCCCACTCACTCAGTAAATGTAGGCCAAAGCTCCTGCATTGACAACATTTTTACTGATGAGATTGACTTGGTAACCCTCTCTGGAGTTATTGAAGACACTTCTTCCCATCATAAACCAATCTTTGCTTTCTTTGACATCAGTCATTTAACTTCTAGGAAAACTTCCCCTAAGCCTAAGCAATTGCAAAGCTATGATTTCTCAAACCGAAATGTTGAACTACTAACAAAACACTTGCTATCTAAGAAATGCATACTAACAAACAATGAAAATCCAATTGAATTTGACGAATTTTTTGAAATTTTTAGCTCAGCTATTGACTCATGTTGTAAACTCGACAAACCCAAACTCACCAAACGAAATCCTATAAGTAATCCCTGGATATCCGACAGCATAATTGAAGCAATTGAAAAGAAAGGTCAGCTGTATGATAACTGGGTGAACTCAAAAAAGCTCCCTGACTTCAAGCCAGTTGGAGATCTGAAACTCCACAAAATTTTTCGTGATTACAGACGCTGTCTTAAAAAGATAATAAAAAACCAAAAAGATACCTATAACTGTAACAAAATTCTTGAAAATTCTGATAGTTCTAAAAAGATGTGGGAAGTAATAAATGAGATAAGAGGGAAAAGGAAAAAAACCATCAAACCCCAATTTATGGTAGATGGAGTCCGTGTTGTTGAAAGACGGGTGATAGCCAACAAATTTAATGAGTACTTTGCCTCTATTGCCTCAAAAATGAATGAAAATACTCATAATGGCCTTCTTTTAGAACCTCTTCCCTCTTTCCTCGAATTCATGCCACCAAAAACTCTCGATTCAATTTACTTCCATGACTGTAGTGAAGATGAAATTTCTGAGATTATAGCCAACTTGAAGAGTGGGAAAGCTAGCGACTTTCCCATAAGAGTAATCAAAAAACTATCGGGTATTCTTAGCCCAACTCTTGTTGTTCAATTTAATCGCCTAATATCTCAAGGGATATTTCCGTCAGTTCTGAAGCTTGGCAAAATAACCCCAATATACAAAAAAGATAACGAAGAACTGATTGAGAACTACAGGCCTGTTTCCACACTTCCAATTTTTGGTAAAATTTTTGAAAAGATAATATACAAACGTCTTTACAGCTTCTTGGTTAGTCAAGGAATCCTTCACGACAGTCAATTCGGATTCCGAAAGAGTCACTCAACATCACATGCACTTAACTACTCAGTTTTTCACATCCAAAAGGCCCTAAAGCAAGGTCTTCATGTTCTAGGAATTTTTATTGATCTAAGCAAGGCCTTTGACACAATAGACCACACAATTTTGCTTGAGAAACTTGAAATATATGGGATTAGAGGAGTGCCACTTAAGTTACTGGAAAGTTACTTGTCGGACAGAGAGCAGTGTGTGTCCGTCCTGGGCGAAGTATCAGACAGACTTCCTGTTCTCTATGGCGTTCCACAGGGGAGCTGCCTTGGGCCTCTCCTGTTTTTAATATACATAAATGACTTAACAAACTCTCAACTCGATAACACTAGCTATGTCCTATTTGCTGATGATACAAACATATTTGTAGTTGCCAAAACTAGAGCAGAGGCCTACAATAATGCAAATAGGGTCCTACGATCAGTCCACGAGTACACATTGGCTAATAAATTACATGTTAACGCCAAGAAAAGTTGCTACATAGAATTCAATACAGCTAAAAGAAAACTTGATGATCAATCTTTATTAATTGAAAATAGACTTTACCTCAACGGCCTACCTCTCTCAAAGGTGCAGGAAACGAAATTCCTGGGAGTAATTGTCGACGAAGGCCTAACTTTCAATCCCTATAGAGACAAACTAGTTAGAAAACTCTCGTCCTGTTCTGGGAGGCTATACATGATTAAGGATAAAATTCCATCATCTATCCATAAGGACCTGTACCACACACTTTTTGAAAGTCACCTATCTTATGGCATTACCGTTTGGGGAGGTGCAAGTAATAATAAACTTCAACCACTATTTGTAGCCCAGAAAAAGTGTGTTCGTATCATGTTTGGTGACAAAAAAGCATACCTTGATAAATTTATGACATGTGCTAGGACTAGACCTATCAGTGAACAGAAACTTACTAGCAAATTCTTTGAGAGAGAGCACACCAAGCCAATTTTTGCCCGTCAATCACTCATGACATTGCATAATTTATACGCGTATCACTGCTGCAATGAACTTTTTAAAGTCTTTAAATATCGAACACCAATTGCACTATTTGAACTTTTCTGTTTGTCTAAAAGACCCGGCAAAGAAACTCTTCTTATAACAACCATGCCCTCAAACAGTTTCGTTTACAAATCTAGTTGCCTTTGGAATTCATTCCGTCAGATGTTGGCACTGAACGACCTTGAAATCACTCATGGTGTATTCAAATCAAAGGTAAAAAAAGTCATTCTCTCGTCTCAGGGTAAAGGTGACAAGAATACCTGGGCCCCTTTGGCAAACTTTCTGAACTCAGGCAGCTTGAACGACTAAATTTGAAAAAATAAAACTTCTTGTCTGAATGAACTATTAGAACCTCAAGAAGCTGATCCGCATGTCTCCGCTACTAAAATGTTTAATGAGCCCAATCACTCATCACTTAACAGTTTAATCTTCAAAGTGAGTTGTACAATCTAGGTTGTTTTAAGTAGCTGTTGATAGTGTAAAACAGGAGTGACTTGATCGTTTTCATAACTTCGATTTACAATTTGTACCATAATAAAACTAGCACTGCCATGGGGTTCAAAAAGGGTCATTGTAAGCCTCCAGCGTAATGGTCCTAAGTCTCTGCCCCATGCAGTGCCTGTCAGCATCAGCTAACAGAATAGCCCTAACATAACGATCAAGCCACAAATTAGGTTCTATAATGATTTAATATTGTTGAATAAAGAGATTTGAATATAATATTTGTTTTATTCTGAATATTTGTTTTATTCTGAACATAATGCAATGTTTGATGGTTGGATATGCTTTAAATTTTTCGAGCACTTTCCTTATAAGTCTATGAGTGAGCTTACTAATTTTTGTTGCAATTGGATGTCGGGAAGAATACTCAATATCTATTTGTTTGAAGAAAATTGTGCTGGCCGAAATTAGCGCTAAAAACCATCCTACAGTCGGCACGCGCGGCTCACTGTCAATGGCGCACTACCTACTATGCACTACTGGGCCACGCCGCGCATCCAATAATGCTTCTCGCAACCACTTTGCTTTACTTTTTGAGCGTCGCTGATCAGTCCGTCTTTCGCCGAATTTCTATTTGGGCTGAGTGAAATACGACCTCCATCGCACTAAAAAAAGTGCCGATGATCATTGGAAGTAAGTGCGCGCGTGAGGATGATTATTAATCACTCTACACTCAACACAGGGGGAGCTGAAACCAGGTTTTCGATCAAACGCTGCCATGTGTAGTCAAACGTCGCCTAAAGTTGCTCTCGTCCAATGAAATCGCTGCATTATGTAAGCCAAGCTCCGCATATGAATATATGTAATTCAATTATGCATACTGACTTGCAAAATGCAGCGATTTCATTGGACGAGAGCAACTGTTGGCGACGTTTGACTACAAATGGCAGCATTTGATCGAAAACCTGGTTTCAGCCCCCCTGTGTCAACTGTCACGTGACTTTTTTAACGTCCTCTAGGTGGCTCTGAATGACTATTCGAAACTATTCGATAAATATACAATATAGTATAATAGTGAAAACGTAAAATGAACGGCTACAATAGGTGAGTTTCACGGACGTGATCACGAGTATATTCAATATTTGATTGAGAAGGTTGTTAAATTGATAACAGACAACGTAGTAAGTGCAGACATTAAAATAACATTAATACGAAGTTACAGCTCCGCCTTAATTGATTACTGATAAATGTCAAAAAAAGTGAATACTTACCAAAATTGTCTACGACAAAACTTCACCAACTTGTGACAAATTTTATAAATAGTCATCAAACACTCCAAGAATTAAAAGTGATTATCAATAAACGATTGTTTAAAGAAACTAACCTGGCAAGGCTGAGTTCAGATTAACCATAGTATTTCCGCAAATGATCAATCCAGCAAAAAATGTATTTTCTGGTCAAGCTGTTTCCGATTAAGAGCGTAGACTTCCAGACGATCTATATAACGGATAACCATTGTCACTTCCTGATGAAAGACAGTTAAAACACGAAAAGATACTGCAAAATATTTAATCTTGTTTTATTAATGAAAATATTTTGTCATTATTTACCAGACAGTGCATAGTTTGCTCTATCCAGAGCCCTTGTGCTTGCAGTAGCGCGCGCCCGCCTCACGGCGGTAAAAAGGTGAGCTTGCATGCTTGTGAATGTAAGTGTAAGTGGTAAGTACATTTGTACTGTAGTTTATACCTAATTACCCCTATAGAAACTGCAAAGCGCGGGAAATTTTGGCAACAATCGATGGGGGGTTGGTGCATGCACATGGTTAGGTGAAGTGCATAGTTAAGCCTCAAACACGCGTGGATGCTATTTTTAGAGATTACTCAGCCTGGGAACCTGTTTGCTGAAGAACCGAGCCTATTAATGTACATGTAATTTTATTGACGATGTCAACCCTTCCATATAGTTGCTCAGCTTTACGAATTAACAAAGCAACAATCTTATGCGAAGTAAAAATGATAGTTAGCGCGGCGGGTCGAAGCGGCGAAGTCATTCAAAAGTGTAATCTGTGCACGGCTTGACGCACATCAGGAATCTGTGCGCGTTTTGTGCCAAAGTTAATACTTAATATTGATATATCATACCATTATACCATACTTTATATTCATTAACTTATTATCTATAATTTATACTATATGTTTTGATTCTTAGTCCTTAGAAGGGCACTCTATTAACAGTTTTTGACTGATTTGAATGTCCACGTGGACGACATGGCCTTTGGCATGCACCAAAGGAACAAAGCAACATAAAACTAATAAATAAATTGTAATAATAAAAATTTAAGGGGCTCTTTTCTAAGCTCATGAAAATGTAGTGTCCGTTGATTTTCTTTTTTTTTCTATCCATTTTTGCAATTGGCATAAAATTGATCATATTGTTTTACTGATCTGAGATGACAAATCTATTATTCTCAAATCTTGTGTCATCGATAAGGGGTTGTCCACATATTACGTAATCAGCCGAGGGGGAGGGGGTTTCAAAATGCTTACGGTTGATTACAGCAGGGGGGTTTTATCGTTGATTACATATTTTATTGTTTCATTGTGCATTGAAAATTATTTTAATTCAAATTCCACTCAATTTCACTCTGATAGTGATAAAATTTAGAAATTGATCGGATATCCGACTTTAGTAGGCAAGGGCGTGTCCAGGGGGCGGTGATGCAGGCGGTCGCCGCCCCCTTTTTGAAATGTTGACCTATAATTTTTGTTGAAAATTGCTTTTTACAGCAACAAAATAATTTTATAAAAATTTTCACAAAAAAAATCAAACAACATCAAACACAAGTATTATTTTTTAAACAAATGTACTAATTTGAACTAATTAAACTATGCTATGCGCATACATTTTCCATGGAAAGGCTGCCCCAATTCTAGGTAGCCACTCCTTCATGGTTGGGTGGGAATCCTACATACTATCTATAATCATTCACAATTAATGATCAATTCTAATTCTAATTACGTTACCAGCATTCAATTGAAATTGAGAAGGCTGAAAATGGATTAAACATTAAACATAACATGCTAACATGAATGCTAATATTTCCAGAATACAGTCAGAAATGGCAACATATTAAGAAACAGTTCAAGTTCAAAAGAGTCAAGAGATTAGAGAGAGGCAGATTAATATGGGAAAGAGGAGCTAAAAGTATCTACTATGATCTAGTATCTTCATGTGTGCCAGAGGGTAGCATATTAGGGCCAATTCTATTTAGTTTATTCATAAATGATCTCAGTAGAAATTGCACACAATCTACTGTTTACTTATTTGCAGATGACAGTGCACTATATTTTGATAACATTTCCAGAGGCATATATGAGAATATAATTAAGGATATGAAAATTGTGTATGAATGGCTTAGAATCAACAAGCTGAGACTAAATGCTGCAAAATCTTCATTCATTGTATTTGATAGATATCCTAATCTGGACACGTTGTCAATCCCTCTGGATTTGGAAAAAGAATGCCTTTTTATAGAAGAAACTAAATCTCAAAATATTTAGGTCTCATGATAGACAATTTATTGAACTTTCAAGACCATATAGATTATGTGAAATCAAAAATTGCTAAAAGAATAGGGGCATTATACAGGTCGAAAAGTCTTCTTCCACTGAAATATAGAAAAATGTTTGTAAATGCTCTTATGCTCCCCCAATTTGACTACCTGGATATAATATGGTGTAGGGCTGCCAAAACCAAACTTAATTCTCTTGATATATTATACAAGAAAGTAGCAAAAATTGCTCTGGATGTTCATTGGCAGGAACCATCAGTAAATGTATATCGAAATATGAAGTGGTTACCCTTACACTTAAGAAGACAACTCCATCTATCAATGTATATGTATAAAATTCTTAATGAGGCTGCACCATCATCATTCACCGATAAATTTTCTTATGTATCCGGAGGATCACGTGATGCTGAGAGGTGCAACCTTTATATTCACAAATCCAGAACACACAAAACCTTTACATATTTAGGTGCAAAATGTTGGAATACAATTCCAGAGAACATAAGGACTATAGAATGTAGTGTAAAATTCTCACAATGTATGAAATCTAAATTTATGTCAGATGTAATTCAAGGAGTCTCATCCTATGAAATAAACAATAGTTTTGACTATTTCTTCACTCTAGCTATGTGACAACTGAAACAAATTTTAAGGTGCTGGAGTTTTTGTCGGGTGGAAAGGCCACCTGCGTTATATGACCTATTTTCAGAAGTATAGAATTTTAAACATCTCCTTTATTCGTTCCCATTTGTTATCATTGCCATTCTAGTATTGTTCTATACTTCTCTGTGTATAACTGTAAATAATATTACTAACGTAATTCCAAAGTGGGCATCTATGTAATTTTCAACATTAATTGTTACCTTCATGCCTACAGTTCACTGTTAAATCATATCTTATAATGATAATAATAATAAATTGAAATTTAATAACACCGCTTTTAAGATTAAACTTATACTCAGCAGTGTTTGAACTAGTCATCCCAGAAAATATCATGAATACTGAGCTTAAAGATAACATATGCTTGAAAATATATCGTCAATACTAAAGCCCGAAAATGGTACTTAAATATGTATATTATGTTATGCAAAGATCGAATTCCAAATATGACCACAAAAGTTATCGATAAAGTTTTTTTAAATTTATTTATTACTCATTATGTTTTACATACTATATTATCCTTATGTCCCTAGAAGGGTGTTCTGCTAACAGTTTTCGACTGACTTGAATGTCCTGCACAGCAGATTGAAGCTTCTTAAATTATTTTTTATTCTTATTGTATTGCTGTGTAAATTTGATTCTAATTCTAATTCTAATTCTAATGTACAATGTTAGATGACTGATGATATAGATAGCCACTTGCATTGGTATCTGGGCTGATAAAGTTCAGAAATTGAAACCTCAATCATCATTTAAAATTATATCAGAATCATGGGACATCACGATCCAGTTCCAAATAGCATACACTCCACCATACTGCCACTCTTCAGACTGGAGATTAGTTAAACAAAAATTTCAGTTAAACAAAAATTTCAATTTTATGCCATTTATTACAGATTAAACAAGTTTACAATAAATCAATTTGATATTTAACAGAATCCTAATTCAATGTGCAGTATGGTTGTCACTCTTTAAATAGATTAGATATAGGTTGACGGGGCAAAGGAGTGTGCGTGCTGTTCGCTATTGCTCACACCAAACGGCAACCTAGTAAATGTTTTGTATGAACACCGGTCTCCATCACGATACAAAATTAGGATTGTAGAATTTATTGTATAACTATTAGTGCGGTGGAGGTAGCGGTGTGGTGCATTAATAGAGCGACAGCCTACTGATTTAGAGTTGTTTTTAGGTGAGCATAATGGGTGTATTTTTGGATCTAATGGCAACTTTAAAATTGGTTCTTTTAATCATTTATTAAATATCAGTTTAAAAATATATAAATCTGGAATCTGTTCACACTGTGAACCAGAGATATCCGAAATAACTTAAAATTTGCCATCTTTAATCTTAATTTGTCCAATGTTTTGAAAATTAAAATATTTCTAATGCCCAAGTGTGTTATCAATTGCTTTGAACTTTCTGTATTGATATCCTATTAGTTTAGCATATAATTCCGTTAAAAATTTTCCGGGGGCTGCGCCACCAGGCCCCTGCTTGCTTTGCTCGCGGCAGTAGCCTCAGAGCCAGCGCATCGCGCCAACTCCTCGCTTACCCATTTCAAAAATCCTGTGCACGCCCCTGATAGTAGGTAGTTTGAAAGGTGCTTGGCCGGATATCATAACAATGGTTTCGGCTCATCGTGATCAGGGTAGCATGAAACGTAAAGAAAAATGATTTCCAGGGAAAAAAGTCAAAGTTCAGGCCATGATTACGTAATATTGCTGTCAGGAGGGTGGGTTTGAGTCTTGATTACGGTTGATTACAGGGGGGAGGGGGGGGGGGGGGGTAAAAATTGCTAAAATATTGATTACGTAATAATATGTGAACGACCCCTAATTAAATACCTCAGGGAAATGACCGAAAGAGATTACTTGTTTCGTTGTGATTATGCCAAAACCAACAGAAGTGCTTGCAAGAAATGCAAGGTATGTACCATACTTTTATAGCCTGTCCGTCGTCAATTGACAATTGACATGCAGAGCCTTTTGATAAAATTGTTACCTTACAGGGTGTCCCAAAGAAGCTTTAATCTGCTGAGCAGGACATTCAAATCAGCTTAAGAACTGTTAATATAGTGCCCTTTTAAGGACTTATGTATGTAATAAGTAATAAGCGTGTTGCAGTTGTTGTTATGTGTTGATAATCTAGCTCTCTTATCTCTATTTTATCGCTACATTATAACTGCCATTGTGCGGGTACTGTGTTTTTACTTTATACAAGTACAAGTACACGATGGATGATGATGAATGGGATACTCTTCGAAGATTGTCAGGTTACTCTACCTGCATGACCGAAGAGCCTCAGGCCTATAACGATTGGGTTACTGAACTCGCGGAAGCTACGAACTGTGACAATAAATCAGAGTTTTCAGTTGAAACGTTCAAAAAGCCAGTGAAGGCAGTTTTAGTCAAACATTTGTATAATGCGTATCAGACTACCGATTATCATGTCAATATGTTTCTGGATATCAAGAAAGATATGGAGGAGTTGAAGAGCGGTCTTATCCGATCGCAAAGTACTGTTATTAAGCTGCAGGCTGAACTTCTGGAAATCAAATCGAACCAGTTGGAATCCGTGCACTCCACCGTCAAGACCGCCGTTCAAGACACTGTCCAAGTTGAGATAAAGTCATACAGTCGATCTGTGTCTAAAACTGCACCTGTGCTTACAGAAGAGAGTTTGAAAAAGGTTGTACAGAATGCTGGATCGGAAGAGGATCGCAGTAGGAATGTGCTCATCTTTGGTTTGAAGGAGACTGATGAAGAGAAACTGTGCGATAAAGTTGACGTGATTTTTCAGCAGATTGAAGAAAAACCACGTTTCGCAGCTATCCGGGTTGGGTGGAAATCAGCCGACAAGAGGAGACCAGTCAAAGTTTCGCTAGGTAATTCTAGTACCGTTCATCAGATATTAGTAAATGCCAAAAAATTGAGACTGTGAAGATCACAAAACTGTTTTCATATCTCCAGATCGATCACCTGAAGATCAAGCTATCCATCAGCGGTTGGTCTTGGAAATGAAACAGATAGCCAAAGAAGACACAAAAAAACACTATTATATCAGAAGTGGTAATATTTGTAGTGAGGACAAGATGTTAGAGAGTGATACATAATAATGAGTGATATACGTCCATAAGTTTTTAATACCGTGTGTGATAAATTTTTTTTTCAAAATGTCAAATTTAAGTACTTTTGGTTTTTGTATTTGTTACTAGCATATTCATTATTGAGTATCTAGTTTTGGATTATATCGCGAGGCCAGCCGCTTTGACATGGGCAATCTTTATTTTTTATTTGGATTGTTGATATAAGCGGGATAAAAATGCTTTATTTCATTTCATTTCAAGTTAATGGATATGGTACAGTGAGTAATAACTTGAAACTGTGGGCATGAAGGTAACCATTAAAATGTTACAAAAATTACATAAACACCCACTTTGACATTTTAGTCAGAATTATATACAGTTATTAAAAAAAGGCAAAATTGGGATGAGGTAAAATGAGGTAAAATATGAGGTAAAATGAGGTAAATCATCGAGTTTTCTGAGTCCTTTTTTAGAGGCAAAATAGGTTTATTCGAAGTCATTACACTACAATTCGAGGCTGTGCATTGTCTCCCATGCTATTTAATGGTTTATTAGGGGTGATGTGGCCCCTGGGATGGGGCAATTCCAGTTTAACCTATTTATTCTCCTTACTTGGGGAAAATACAACTTTTTCATTCACATTTAAAAAAATGTGCTTATTGGCTTTGTTAGAGTTTTGTCGAAACTATACCGAAAAAACCAGTCCCATATCTCTTACCGTTTTCTTGATTAAACTGTACACTCACACCTACAAATTTATTGGGATTATTAGTATAGATATAATATATAATGTAATTCTCATATTTTATGTTTGATGTGTCTCATCATATGAAATAAACGATAGCTTTGACTATTTCTACACTCCAGCTCTGTGATAACTATAAGGTGTTTCAGAGTTTTTGTTAAGTAGCAGGGTCCCCTGTGTATTTCTGACCGAATTATCACGACTATATTTTTATATTATTAACATTAAACTACGGGCATGAAAGTAACTGGTTACTTTCACTTTTTTACACCATACATAAATCACCTACACTTTTTTACACCATACATAAAAAAAGGCAAAAATGTAAAAATGTGTAGTGTAAAATAGCCTAAAAAAGCATTAAAAAGTGTAAGGATGTGTTTTACCTTTGGAAATGTACTATGTGATGACTGAACATAGTACAGTAATGAACATTTGGTGTTCATTACTGAACACCAAAAAATATTACTTATGCAAAGATAAAACAATGTTTTGATGTCCTTAGAAGGGTACTCTATTAACAGTTTTTAACTGATGTGAATGTCCTGCAGCAGATTGAAGTCTTATTGTATTGCTGTGTAAATTTAATTCTAATTATAATTCCAATCGAATAATTTATTTTCAGATAAAAATAGAAAAGGCTGAAGTAAGGATTGCGAAATTAAAAACCAATCCGTTTAGTGATGATGGTGGCTTGATGACTGACTGGCACCACCCGAAATGTGTTTTTGAAACTTTTGCCAGGGCCAGGGTAGGTATGTGTTTATAATTAAATATAGACTTGAATTTTACTTAGTGGACTCTGGTCTACTACTTCAAAAAGGTGACCATGAAAATGTTGATTTCTAAAATTATTGAAATCTATTGGTCATACTCACAAACAAGTGGTTTTTTCTAGTAATTCAATGTAACAAAAATAGCTTTTAAGCTGAATACGTCAACCACGAAATTCACGAAATTTCGAAAAAAGTATCGATCGGGGAATAAAACAAGGTCCAGTATAGTACTTATACTATGGTTTACTTCAATAAAACTAGGTACAGTATAGTGTACAGAGTGTGTGTAGTGTGTGTAGCTTACGTTGCAATTATCAAGCTCTCTTATCTTTTGTAACTTTGCGATAAGTTCAGTTTGCTGCTACCGCGTAGTAAGCCTTTGCGTGTGTATACTTGTACATTACTATACAATGTACACCACGGAGGATGATCTACATTTGACCCGATCTCAGAAGAAACTCAAGGATTTCAACTATGAAGAAAAGGAAGATGTAGAGGGCTGTGCTGATAGATGGTTCACTTCGATGGCAAGTCTACTGAAATTAGAAAACTTCGAAATTCGTGGAGATATGGACCAAGAAATTCTCATGTCTCCGTCTATCTATAAAAGGTATATGGCAGAATGGGTTATGCAAGCAGCAGACCTCGTACGACGGCAGAGTAGTCAGATGAGCGCTATGATGGAAATCGTTGAGTGCCTCAAGACGGAAGCACTAGCAGACAAGGAAAAGATGGTCAGGTTGCAGGACCAGTTGCTAGTGCAGAAGGACGAACAACTACAGTTGTTTAAGACGTCAGTTGAAGAGACAGTACAAACAACGGTGGAGACAGGGATTAAGAGCTACAGTGCCGCTGTACAAAAGAACAGCACAAATGGCGCGGTCTGCAACAGTAAAATTCTGAAGAATGTTATGAAGAGTGTGGCTGCAGAGGAGGACAGGAGCAAGAATCTGATAGTGTTTGGACTGAAAGAAGAAGAGGGAGAACAGCTTCCAGCTCTGGTAGCCGCAGTATTGGAGGAGATCGGGGAGAAACCTCATTTTGAAGCGACTAGAGTCGGCTGGAAGAGGCCAGGTATCACGGCTATCCGACCAGTCAAGATCACCGTCCCAAGCTCAACAGCAGTTCATCAAATTCTGATGAAAACAGGGAGACTGAGGATGGCTGATGCACACAAAGATGTATGGATCTGTCCTGATAGATCCAGTGAAGAGCGTGCAGCAAGGAAGAACGTGGTAACTGACCTGAAGAAGAAGAGGGCTGAACAGACTCATCTCCACTACATCCGTAACGGGAAGGTCTGTAGCCGTGTTAAGAAGGCACCATGATGACGTAATTCATGTTTCTCGGACACCGATCAATATAATATGTACTTGTAGGAGTATTTTAAGAGTTTACGGACGTTATCTGTATTTGAGAGACAATTATATTATATAAATACAATATTATTTGATTGTTTCACACTTTTCACGTTTCATAATTTTATTACTAGGTGGAGGTGATGTTATTGAGACTTTGGGCGGCCAAAAAACTTCTGTTCTGAAAGTTGTCCTCTGTACTTGTTTCACTGACCCACGCTTTTTAGCATTTATACATTTCGGCCCATTTTATATGTTTGTTCGAATTGCTGTACATTTGTATATTTGCTATTTTGTAAAAGTTTCAAATCAAATCAGTACTTATACTATGGTTTACTTCAATAAAACCAGGTACAGTATAGTACTTATACTATGGTTTACTTCAATAAAACCAGGTACAGTATAGTACTTATACTATGGTTAACTTCAGGGAATAAAACTAGGTACAGTAGTGTACTTATGAAATCCCGCCCCCTGCCAAAAAATAGCTCATTAACTGGGGACCTTTTAATTTTAATTTTTTTTCATAATTTCTGAACGGAAAAAGACATCTTTGACTTTGTCACAATATTATGTTTCTAGTAGGGAACTGTCAAATTTTTTCTCTCAACACCAATTTACCTTTTTTCCCAAATTATGCAGATTGAGAAAATTCTTTCTGATATGGCCATGGCTTGCTATGATCACTCATTCGAGGAATATAACATGTTAATTAATATTGATGTAATGTTATAAATAAACCCTGGTTTCGCTTGCCAGCACTGTGAAATTATGGCTAAAATATTCATTTTATATTTGGTGGGAGCTTTCAAAATACATATTGTGTAAATGGTCTTCATCTAATTTTATTTTGTACATCGATTTTATTATATTAACCTTTCCCCATCAGTTAGTGAATGTCATTTAAACCTGGACTTACCACAACTTTCACATCGCCCCTCACTCAATCACAGACCAAACCATTTCATCACTCACTCACCAAATTGCCGACCCAATATCTATTGAAGTGGCGAAAATTTTCTAGACAAATGATATTTCGATATTATTGCTGCAGCAGATACAAATACCAACATTATTATATTCCCAAACGTTTGAACCTTTAAATTAACTAGGAAAGTCAATCCTCAACTTGACTTTTACTGTTTTAAACAGATATGATGATATTAACTTAATTTATTATTATTATTATTATTTTTTTTTTTACATACTCCTTCTTAGTGTGGTGACTTGGGGTCCATAAATATAACAATACAAGCTGATAAACCAAAAAGAACAACTGGGGTAGGTAGGTAGCCCTGGTGGGTGCGTAAACTTTACGGTCTGCTCTCTCCAAGATCAGCCTGCTTCTCCATTTTACCGTGAAGCCTAATTTCTAGTTTTTATAAAATATACAATGCAAGTGCAGGTTTACTAATCTTAATCTACTTAACAACTCAATAGCCCAAGTCACCATACCCGTAGTATATTCCATGGTAATAGAAGAGCTTTAAAGTTTTTCAAATTGTTGCTATAATTGATTTAAATAAAAATTTGTTGTTTTCTTGAAAAAAATTTGTTGTTTTCTTGAGTTAAATGAAGTTTTAATTTAACAATTTATCAGGCAACCACAAAAAAGATAGAATCCTCGGACGACATTGAACATTTCGATCTACTAAAGTCAAAAGATCAAGATGTAAGAAGTGGTTTGAATTTAAGATGTTACCCAGCACAAAACTTGCTGTTACCTAGCATAAAACCCAGCACGGGGGAGGGGGGGTGTAGATCTTGCATTAAAACTTAATTTTACTCGAATCTGATATTTAGAATGTTTCATATTGCAGGTTATCGAACACCTCATCAAGAACTACCTTGCCACAAGGAAAGAGTCTAAAGCACCCTCTAAAGCTAAAGCTGCTGCAGTACCTGTAGCTATTGTTCAAAGTAAACTGACAAAGTCTACACCAGCGTCTAAAGAAAATAACTCACATGTGAACGGAGCAACTGACAGACTCTTCCTGGTCAGTGAAATCTTATTGTTACATCAAATCTAGCAAATGTCATTCTCAAGTTCAGTGTTCACCACTCTAGCACATGTCATTCTCAAGTTCAGTGTTCACCACTCTAGCACATGTCATTTTCAAGTTCAGTGTTCACCACTCTAGCACATGTCATTCTCAAGTTCAGTGTTCACCACTCTAGCACATGTCATTCTCAAGTTCAGTGTTCACCACTCTAGCACATGTCATTCTCAAGTTCAGTGTTCACCACTCTAGCAAATGTAATTCTCAAGTTCAGTGTTCACCACTCTAGCACATGTCATTCTCAAGTTCAGTGTTCACCACTCTAGCACATGTCATTCTCAAGTTCAGTGTTCACCACTCTAGCACATTTCATTCTCAAGTTCAGTGTTCACCACTCTAGCACATGTCATTTTCAAGTTCAGTGTTCACCACTCTAGCACATGTCATTCTCAAGTTCAGTGTTCACCACTCTAGCACATGTCATTCTCAAGTTCAGTGTTCACCACTCTAGCACATGTCATTCTCAAGTTCAGTGTTCACCACTCTAGCAAATGTCATTTTCAAGTTCAGTGTTCACCACTCTAGCAGATGTCATTCTCAAGTTCAGTGTTCACCACTTTAGCACATGTCATTTTCAAGTTCAGTGTTCACCACTCTAGCACATGTCATTCTCAAGTTCAGTGTTCACCACTCTAGCAAATGTAATTCTCAAGTTCAGTGTTCACCACTCTAGCACATATCATTCTCAAGTTCAGTGTTCACCACTCTAGCACATGTCATTCTCAAGTTCAGTGTTCACCACTCTAGCAAATGTAATTCTCAAGTTCAGTGTTCACCACTCTAGCACATGTCATTCTCAAGTTCAGTGTTCACCACTCTAGCACATGTCATTCTCAAGTTCAGTGTTCACCACTCTAGCACATGTCATTCTCAAGTTCAGTGTTCACCACTCTAGCAAATGTCATTTTCAAGTTCAGTGTTCACCACTCTAGCAGATGTCATTCTCAAGTTCAGTGTTCACCACTTTAGCACATGTCATTTTCAAGTTCAGTGTTCACCACTCTAGCACATGTCATTCTCAAGTTCAGTGTTCACCACTCTAGCAAATGTAATTCTCAAGTTCAGTGTTCACCACTCTAGCACATATCATTCTCAAGTTCAGTGTTCACCACTCTAGCACATGTCATTCTCAAGTTCAGTGTTCACCACTCTAGCAAATGTAATTCTCAAGTTCAGTGTTCACCACTCTAGCACATGTCATTCTCAAGTTCAGTGTTCACCACTCTAGCACATGTCATTCTCAAGTTCAGTGTTCACCACTCTAGCACATGTCATTCTCAAGTTCAGTGTTCACCACTCTAGCACATGTAATTCTCAAGTTCAGTGTTCACCACTCTAGCAAATGTAATTCTCAAGTTCAGTGTTCACCACTCTAGCACATGTCATTCTCAAGTTCAGTGTTCACCACTCTAGCACATGTCATTCTCAAGTTCAGTGTTCACCACTCTAGCACATTTCATTCTCAAGTTCAGTGTTCACCACTCTAGCACATGTCATTTTCAAGTTCAGTGTTCACCACTCTAGCACATGTCATTCTCAAGTTCAGTGTTCACCACTCTAGCACATGTCATTCTCAAGTTCAGTGTTCACCACTCTAGCACATGTCATTCTCAAGTTCAGTGTTCACCACTCTAGCACATGTCATTCTCAAGTTCAGTGTTCACCACTCTAGCAAATGTCATTTTCAAGTTCAGTGTTCACCACTCTAGCAGATGTCATTCTCAAGTTCAGTGTTCACCACTTTAGCACATGTCATTTTCAAGTTCAGTGTTCACCACTCTAGCACATGTCATTCTCAAGTTCAGTGTTCACCACTCTAGCAAATGTAATTCTCAAGTTCAGTGTTCACCACTCTAGCACATATCATTCTCAAGTTCAGTGTTCACCACTCTAGCACATGTCATTCTCAAGTTCAGTGTTCACCACTCTAGCAAATGTAATTCTCAAGTTCAGTGTTCACCACTCTAGCACATGTCATTCTCAAGTTCAGTGTTCACCACTCTAGCACATGTCATTCTCAAGTTCAGTGTTCACCACTCTAGCACATTTCATTCTCAAGTTCAGTGTTCACCACTCTAGCACATGTCATTCTCAAGTTCAGTGTTCACCACTCTAGCAAATGTAATTCTCAAGTTCAGTGTTCACCACTCTAGCACATGTCATTCTCAAGTTCAGTGTTCACCACTCTAGCAAATGTAATTCTCAAGTTCAGTGTTCACCACTCTAGCACATGTCATTCTCAAGTTCAGTGTTCACCACTCTAGCACATGTCATTCTCAAGTTCAGTGTTCACCACTCTAGCACATGTCATTCTCAAGTTCAGTGTTCACCACTCTAGCACATGTCATTCTCAAGTTCAGTGTTCACCACTCTAGCACATGTCATTCTCAAGTTCAGTGTTCACCACTCTAGCAAATGTAATTCTCAAGTTCAGTGTTCACCACTCTAGCACATGTCATTCTCAAGTTCAGTGTTCACCACTCTAGCACATGTCATTCTCAAGTTCAGTGTTCACCACTCTAGCACATGTCATTCTCAAGTTCAGTGTTCACCACTCTAGCACATGCCATTCTCAAGTTCAGTGTTCACCACTCTAGCACATGTCATTCTCAAGTTCAGTGTTCACCACTCTAGCAAATGTAATTCTCAAGTTCAGTGTTCACCACTCTAGCACATGTCATTCTCAAGTTCAGTGTTCACCACTCTAGCACATGTCATTTTCAAGTTCAGTGTTCACCACTCTAGCACATGTCATTCTCAAGTTCAGTGTTCACCACTCTAGCACATGTCATTCTCAAGTTCAGTGTTCACCACTCTAGCAAATGTAATTCTCAAGTTCAGTGTTCACCACTCTAGCACATGTCATTCTCAAGTTCAGTGTTCACCACTCTAGCACATGTCATTTTCAAGTTCAGTGTTCACCACTCTAGCACATGTCATTCTCAAGTTCAGTGTTCACCACTCTAGCAAATGTAATTCTCAAGTTCAGTGTTCACCACTCTAGCACATGTCATTCTCAAGTTCAGTGTTCACCACTCTAGCACATGTCATTCTCAAGTTCAGTGTTCACCACTCTAGCACATGTCATTTTCAAGTTCAGTGTTCACCACTCTAGCAGATGTCATTCTCAAGTTCAGTGTTCACCACTCTAGCACATGTCATTTTCAAGTTCAGTGTTCACCACTCTAGCACATGTCATTCTCAAGTTCAGTGTTCACCACTCTAGCACATGTCATTCTCAAGTTCAGTGTTCACCACTCTAGCACATGTCATTCTCAAGTTCAGTGTTCACCACTCTAGCAAATGTAATTCTCAAGTTCAGTGTTCACCACTCTAGCACATGTCATTCTCAAGTTCAGTGTTCACCACTCTAGCACATGTCATTCTCAAGTTCAGTGTTCACCACTCTAGCACATGTAATTCTCAAGTTCAGTGTTCACCACTCTAGCACATATCATTCTCAAGTTCAGTGTTCACCACTCTAGCACATATCATTCTCAAGTTCAGTGTTCACCACTCTAGCACATGTCATTCTCAAGTTCAGTGTTCACCACTCTAGCACATGTCATTTTCAAGTTCAGTGTTCACCACTCTAGCAGATGTCATTCTCAAGTTCAGTGTTCACCACTCTAGCACATGTCATTTTCAAGTTCAGTGTTCACCACTCTAGCACATGTCATTCTCAAGTTCAGTGTTCACCACTCTAGCACATGTCATTCTCAAGTTCAGTGTTCACCACTCTAGCACATGTCATTCTCAAGTTCAGTGTTCACCACTCTAGCAAATGTAATTCTCAAGTTCAGTGTTCACCACTCTAGCACATGTCATTCTCAAGTTCAGTGTTCACCACTCTAGCACATGTCATTCTCAAGTTCAGTGTTCACCACTCTAGCACATGTAATTCTCAAGTTCAGTGTTCACCACTCTAGCACATATCATTCTCAAGTTCAGTGTTCACCACTCTAGCACATGTCATTCTCAAGTTCAGTGTTCACCACTCTAGCACATATCATTCTCAAGTTCAGTGTTCACCACTCTAGCACATGTCATTCTCAAGTTCAGTGTTCACCACTCTAGCACATGTCATTCTCAAGTTCAGTGTTCACCACTCTAGCACATGTCATTCTCAAGTTCAGTGTTCACCACTCTAGCACATGTCATTCTCAAGTTCAGTGTTCACCACTCTAGCAAATGTAATTCTCAAGTTCAGTGTTCACCACTCTAGCACATGTCATTCTCAAGTTCAGTGTTCACCACTCTAGCACATGTCATTCTCAAGTTCAGTGTTCACCACTCTAGCACATTTCATTCTCAAGTTCAGTGTTCACCACTCTAGCACATATCATTCTCAAGTTCAGTGTTCACCACTCTAGCACATGTCATTTTCAAGTTCAGTGTTCACCACTCTAGCACATGTCATTCTCAAGTTCAGTGTTCACCACTCTAGCACATGTCATTCTCAAGTTCAGTGTTCACCACTCTAGCACATGTCATTCTCAAGTTCAGTGTTCACCACTCTAGCAAATGTAATTCTCAAGTTCAGTGTTCACCACTCTAGCACATGTCATTCTCAAGTTCAGTGTTCACCACTCTAGCACATGTCATTCTCAAGTTCAGTGTTCACCACTCTAGCAAATGTAATTCTCAAGTTCAGTGTTCACCACTCTAGCACATGTCATTCTCAAGTTCAGTGTTCACCACTCTAGCACATGTCATTCTCAAGTTCCCTGTTCACCACTCTAGCACATGTCATTCTCAAGTTCAGTGTTCACCACTCTAGCACATGTCATTCTCAAGTTCAGTGTTCACCACTCTAGCACATGTCATTCTCAAGTTCAGTGTTCACCACTCTAGCACATATCATTCTCAAGTTCAGTGTTCACCACTCTAGCACATGTCATTCTCAAGTTCCCTGTTCACCACTCTAGCACATGTCATTCTCAAGTTCAGTGTTCACCACTCTAGCACATGTCATTCTCAAGTTCAGTGTTCACCACTCTAGCACATGTCATTCTCAAGTTCCCTGTTCACCACTCTAGCACATGTCATTCTCAAGTTCAGTGTTCACCACTCTAGCACATGTCATTTTCAAGTTCAGTGTTCACCACTCTAGCACATGTCATTCTCAAGTTCAGTGTTCACCACTCTAGCACATGTCATTCTCAAGTTCAGTGTTCACCACTCTAGCACATGTCATTCTCAAGTTCAGTGTTCACCACTCTAGCAAATGTAATTCTCAAGTTCAGTGTTCACCACTCTAGCACATGTCATTCTCAAGTTCAGTGTTCACCACTCTAGCACATGTCATTCTCAAGTTCAGTGTTCACCACTCTAGCTCTCTAGCACATTTCATTCTCAAGTTCAGTGTTCACCACTCTAGCACATATCATTCTCAAGTTCAGTGTTCACCACTCTAGCACATGTCATTCTCAAGTTCAGTGTTCACCACTCTAGCAAATGTAATTCTCAAGTTCAGTGTTCACCACTCTAGCACATGTCATTCTCAAGTTCAGTGTTCACCACTCTAGCACATGTCATTCTCAAGTTCAGTGTTCACCACTCTAGCACATGTCATTTTCAAGTTCAGTGTTCACCACTCTAGCACATGTCATTCTCAAGTTCAGTGTTCACCACTCTAGCACATGTCATTCTCAAGTTCAGTGTTCACCACTCTAGCAAATGTCATTCTCAAGTTCAGTGTTCACCACTCTAGCACATGTCATTCTCAAGTTCAGTGTTCACCACTCTAGCACATGCCATTCTCAAGTTCAGTGTTCACCACTCTAGCACATGCCATTCTCAAGTTCAGTGTTCACCACTCTAGCACATGTCATTCTCAAGTTCAGTGTTCACCACTCTAGCAGATGTCATTCTCAAGTTCAGTGTTCACCACTCTAGCACATATCATTCTCAAGTTCAGTGTTCACCACTCAGTGTTCTCCTTGGTCATTTCATGTTTAATTCCTGTTTAATTCCTCGGGTAAGCTCTTTTCAGTCAGTTCCTCGGGTAAGCAATCCAGCAGTCCTATCCACTATCCAGCGTACCACTTTCCTACACCGATAGTTTTGACAATGATGCTTGGGCGTATTCTGACAAGAATACCTGATTCAAGTTGTAAAGCTCAATTAATCCAATTAATTTTTATATTTGATTTAAATCATTGGTTTCAGGTTGTACAGAAACTTTGTGAGAAGTTAAGAGCAGAGCCAAGTTATCTTGCTAAGAGTGAGATAGTGCGATCATACTTCAAGCAGAATCCAAGCTCCCCTGACGAAACATATCTGATGTTGAAACAGATGATACCGTCAGTTGATAAACGAGTTTTCAATGTCAAAGACAAGCAGGTGAAACTGATAGTCGTTCATTTGTAGGGGGTCGCTCTATATAATATATACACTCATAATCATATCCCCCGACCCCTCAATCTGAGTATGGTAACTTTGCAGAAAACGTACATTTAAAAATTGCTTGTATTGTTCTTTGCGAACATACTGGACGACCCATTTTCGCACAGTAGATCATTACTTTCCCCGCCTCATCTCAGTTGATAAAAGTCCTTTCCTCTGTATTCTCCTCCTCACTGGACGACATGTCAGAGCATCTTGAGAAAGGAGACGTTGCAGAAACGGGACGAGTCTTCCACATCAGGAGCAGTCTGATTAAACCTCAATCTAGCTGTGTTACTATGAGACAGGTGCAGTCTGATTAAACCTCAATCTAGCTGTGTTACTATGAGACAGGTGCAGTCTGATTAAACCTCAATCTAGCTGTGTTACTATGAGACAGGTGCAGTCTGATTAAACCTCAATCTAGCTGTGTTACTATGAGACAGGTGCAGTCTGATTAAACCTCAATCTAGCTGTGTTACTATGAGACAGGTGCAGTCTGATTAAACCTCAATCTAGCTGTGTTACTATGAGACAGGTGCAGTCTGATTAAACCTCAATCTAGCTGTGTTACTATGAGACAGGCCAGGTGCAGTCTGATTAAACCTCAATCTAGCTGTGTTACTATGAGACAGGTGCAGTCTGATTAAACCTCAATGTGTAGTATACTCCGTATACCCTAGTAATAGTATATATATAGTATTATAGCTACTCTGTATACTCCGTATACCCAGGTGGATGTGTTTCTAGAGAAGTTAGCTACAATTACAAAGGAGGAAGAACAACGTCTACACTTCAAGAGTATTCTGAAACACCTCACTCCGCAAGATCTAAAGTACTTGCTGTATCTAATAAAGAAAGATCTGCGAATAAACGCCCGGGAAAAGCATATACTAGAGGGTTTACACCCTGTAGCGTACAAAGCTTTCCAGATGTCACATGATCTCAGAGACGTGGTTAACAGATACGGCTCAGCAGGTTTTATTATCATTCTTAATATTATATTTGCTATTATTATATATTATTTGAGCTTGAGGTTAGTTAAACGGATATTATATAAAGGTTTGTAAACCGAATTAACACTCCGATGGTGCGCTGTGTGTACAAGTCTATATTCCTACGTAGCTAACTACAAGTCTATATTCCTACGTAGCTAACTACAAGTCTGTATTCCTACGTAGCTAACTACAAGTCTATATTCCTTCGTAGCTAACTACAAGTCTATATTCCTACGTAGCTAACTACAAGTCTATATTCCTACGTAGCTAACTACAAGTCTATATTCCTACGTAGCTAACTACAAGTCTATATTCCTACGTAGCTAACTACAAGTCTATATTCCTACGTAGCTAACTACAAGTCTATATTCCTACGTAGCTAACTACAAGTCTATATTCCTACGTAGCTAACTACAAGTCTATATTCCTACGTAGCTAACTACAAGTCTATATTCCTACGTAGCTAACTACAAGTCTATATTCCTACGTAGCTAACTACAAGTCTATATTCCTACGTAGCTAACTACAAGTCTATATTCCTACGTAGCTAACTACAAGTCTATATTCCTACGTAGCTAACTACAAGTCTATATTCCTTCGTAGCTAACTACAAGTCTATATTCCTACGTAGCTAACTACAAGTCTATATTCCTACGTAGCTAACTACAAGTCTATATTCCTACGTAGCTAACTACAAGTCTATATTCCTACGTAGCTAACTACAAGTCTATATTCCTACGTAGCTAACTACAAGTCTATATTCCTACGTAGCTAACTACAAGTCTATATTCCTACGTAGCTAACTACAAGTCTATATTCCTACGTAGCTAACTACAAGTCTATATTCCTACGTAGCTAACTACAAGTCTATATTCCTTCGTAGCTAACTACAAGTCTATATTCCTACGTAACTAACTACATGAAGAGTATCTTGTTAGAGTTTAAATTGCAAACAAAATCCAGGGAGCTCGGTGAAATCAGGAGACACCAGTGGGGTTGGATTACAACTAATGACCCCGATCAGACCCATGCTGGCTGAAGCTTGCAGATCAATCGCTCAAGCTCTTGGCAAATGTCCTGAGGTAATAATAATAATCGTTTAACTATTGTTAAACGATTATTGCACAATTGCAAAATATAATATTCACTATGATAATATTTCCAAAAAGAAATCAAAGCAACCCCAAAAATTTTCCCAAATTCAAGTGCCATGGCCCATGAATCATATACATGCTTTGACAACATTTTAAAGTGCAGATAACATTAAATTTTATGTAATTTTGTATGTTGATTGGTTAATTTAACTGACCAATTAATGAGCAACCCCCAGGGAATGTACAGTGAGATAAAGTACGACGGAGAGCGGGTACAGCTTCACAAACAAGGGTCCCAGTTCCAGTTCTACTCACGCAGTCTTAAACCCGTCATGGCTCACAAGGTACAGCTTCACAAACAAGGGTCCCAGTTCCAGTTCTACTCACGCAGTCTTAAACCCGTCATGGCTCACAAGGTACAGCTTCACAAACAAGGGTCCCAGTTCCAGTTCTACTCACGCAGTCTTAAACCCGTCATGGCTCACAAGGTACAGCTTCACAAACAAGGGTCCCAGTTCCAGTTCTACTCACGCAGTCTTAAACCCGTCATGGCTCACAAGGTACAGCTTCACAAACAAGGGTCCCAGTTCCAGTTCTACTCACGCAGTCTTAAACCCGTCATGGCTCACAAGGTACAGCTTCACAAACAAGGGTCCCAGTTCCAGTTCTACTCACGCAGTCTTAAACCCGTCATGGCTCACAAGGTACAGCTTCACAAACAAGGGTCCCAGTTCCAGTTCTACTCACGCAGTCTTAAACCCGTCATGGCTCACAAGGTACAGCTTCACAAACAAGGGTCCCAGTTCCAGTTCTACTCACGCAGTCTTAAACCCGTCATGGCTCACAAGGTACAGCTTCACAAACAAGGGTCCCAGTTCCAGTTCTACTCACGCAGTCTTAAACCCGTCATGGCTCACAAGGTACAGCTTCACAAACAAGGGTCCCAGTTCCAGTTCTACTCACGCAGTCTTAAACCCGTCATGGCTCACAAGGTACAGCTTCACAAACAAGGGTCCCAGTTCCAGTTCTACTCACGCAGTCTTAAACCCGTCATGGCTCACAAGGTACAGCTTCACAAACAAGGCTCCCAGTTCCAGTTCTACTCACGCAGTCTTAAACCCGTCATGGCTCACAAGGTACAGCTTCACAAACAAGGGTCCCAGTTCCAGTTCTACTCACGCAGTCTTAAACCCGTCATGGCTCACAAGGTACAGCTTCACAAACAAGGGTCCCAGTTCCAGTTCTACTCACGCAGTCTTAAACCCGTCATGGCTCACAAGGTACAGCTTCACAAACAAGGGTCCCAGTTCCAGTTCTACTCACGCAGTCTTAAACCCGTCATGGCTCACAAGGTACAGCTTCACAAACAAGGGTCTCAGCTCCAGTTCTACTCACGCAGTCTTAAACCCGTCATGGCTCACAAGGTACAGCTTCACAAACAAGGGTCCCAGTTCCAGTTCTACTCACGCAGTCTTAAACCCGTCATGGCTCACAAGGTACAGCTTCACAAACAAGGGTCCCAGTTCCAGTTCTACTCACGCAGTCTTAAACCCGTCATGGCTCACAAGGTACAGCTTCACAAACAAGGGTCCCAGTTCCAGTTCTACTCACGCAGTCTTCAACCCGTCATGGCTCACAAGGTACAGCTTCACAAACAAGGGTCCCAGTTCCAGTTCTACTCACGCAGTCTTAAACCCGTCATGGCTCACAAGGTACAGCTTCACAAACAAGGGTCTCAGCTCCAGTTCTACTCACGCAGTCTTAAACCCGTCATGGCTCACAAGGTACAGCTTCACAAACAAGGGTCCCAGTTCCAGTTCTACTCACGCAGTCTTAAACCCGTCATGGCTCACAAGGTACAGCTTCACAAACAAGGGTCCCAGCTCCAGTTCTACTCACGCAGTCTTAAACCCGTCATGGCTCACAAGGTACAGCTTCACAAACAAGGGTCCCAGTTCCAGTTCTACTCACGCAGTCTTAAACCCGTCATGGCTCACAAGGTACAGCTTCACAAACAAGGGTCCCAGTTCCAGTTCTACTCACGCAGTCTTAAACCCGTCATGGCTCACAAGGTACAACTTCACAAGGTAAGCAGGCCTCCGTGCCTGCTTCTAGCTGCCTCCGTGCCTGCTTCTAGCTGCCTCCGTGCCTGCTTCTAGCTGCCTCCGTGCCTGCTTCTAGCTGCCTCCGTGCCTGCTTCTAGCTGCCTCCGTGCCTGCTTCTAGCTGCCTCCGTGCCTGCTTCTAGCTGCCTTCGTGCCTGCTTCTAGCTGCCTCCGTGCCTGCTTCTAGCTGCCTCCGTGCCTTCTCCTAGCTGCCTCCGTGCCTGCTTCTAGCTGCCTCCGTGCCTGCTTCTAGCTGCCTCCGTGCCGGCTTCTAGCTGCCTCCGTGCCTGCTCCTAGCTGCCTCCGTGCCTGCTTCTAGCTGCCTCCATGCCTGCTTCTAGCTGCCTCCGTGCCTGCTTCTAGCTGCCTCCGTGCCTGCTCCTAGCTGCCTCCGTGCCTGCTTCTAGCTGCCTCCGTGCCGGCTTCTAGCTGCCTCCGTGCCTGCTTCTAGCTGCCTCCGTGCCTGCTTCTAGCTGCCTCCGTGCCGGCTCTTCCCAGCTGCCACTGTACTAGCACGTGATAATTGTGGCTCTTTTTAGCAACCTCTGAATGCTGCACTTTCTAGCTTCCACCGGCTCACAAATCTTTGCACGTGCACGTTCACCACCGTTACCATAATTACTGTGCAACTTCATATTTCTCATCAAATTTGCACGAGGGTGGTCGTACAGACAGACAGACATAATCTTTTGAATTATAATATAGATAATTATTATATAATAAAGATACTGTATTCGAATAAACATTGGCTGGTTAATATTAATAAACCAGTCCCCCAATAAATAAAAATAGTTCAAAATTTATTGAATTATGAATTAGTTCATAATTTATTAAATAATGAATAAGTTCATAACTTATTAAATAATGAATAACTTATTAATTAGTTTATTAACAAGTTAACCCCGCAGGTAGCAGATCTGACAGAGTCTGTTCCTAAAGCCTTCCCTACAGGTCAGGATATCATTCTGGATTGTGAGGTGCTACTAGTTGATAATATTACTGGTAAGTAAAATACACATAATATAATAGAGTACACTACTAGTTAGTAAAATACACATAATATAATAAAGTACACTACTAGTTAGTAAAATATAGTAGTATTGTGTAAAATATAGTAGTATTATGTTTACTTATAGAATATGAGCTTGGATTTTTGTTCAAAGTAAGCTCCACTTACTTTGGAGTATGTCACACTATTATACTACTCACCATATATTTGGAACTCCGTAATTGTGTCATAAATCCAGACTCCAGAGTTTTAAATTATATATTATAATACACATAATGAACATTTAATTTCCCTCAAAATTCATCTGAAACGATACAATAACAGGAAAACCACTGCCGTTTGGAACGCTTGGTATTCACAAGAAAAGTGCGTTTAAAGCAGCGAGCGTGTGCTTGTTTGTATTCGATATCTTACTGCTTAACGGGAAGAGTTTAGTGAACGAGCCTATAAAGAAAAGAAGAGAAATTCTGAGGGAGAGTATCACAGAGATACCCAATAGAGTGATGCTCAGTGAGATGCAGTTGATAAAGACGGCAAGTGAGCTGGCAGGGATGATATCACACGTGTTAAGAGAGGGACTGGAAGGTCTGGTTCTGAAAGGTATTAACACCACTTACAAGCCTGGGGCGCGGCACTGGCTCAAAGTCAAGAAGGACTACCTACAAGGTTCAGCTTTATAATCATCTAGGGTAATGAGTATTGTTCATTCATTCAACATAAATTTGATATGATATTTTGATCAAAATTTCAAATAATGTTAAGTAAGTAGTGACCTGTGACCAATGATTACTGACCCTGTATATAAGTAAGTAGTGACCTGTGACCAATGATTACAGATCCTGTTTATAAGTGAGTAGTGACCTGTGACCAATGATTACTGATCCTGTATATATAAGTAAGTAGTGACCTGTGACCAATAATTACTGACCCTGTATATAAGTGAGTAGTGACCTGTGACCAATGATTACTGACCCTGTATATAAGTGAGTAGTGACCTGTGACCAATGATTACTGATCCTGTATATATAAGTAAGTAGTGACCTGTGACCAATAATTACTGACCCTGTATATAAGTGAGTAGTGACCTGTGACCAATGATTACTGATCCTGTATATATAAGTAAGTAGTGACCTGTGACCAATAATTACTGACCCTGTATATAAGTGAGTAGTGACCTGTGACCAATGATTACTGACCCTGTATATATAATTGAGTAGTGACCTGTGACCAATGATTACTGACCCTGTATATAAGTGAGTAGTGACCTGTGACCAATGATTACTGACCCTGTATATAAGTGAGTAGTGACCTGTGACCAATGATTACTGACCCTGTATATAAGTGAGTAGTGACCTGTGACCAATGATTACTGACCCTGTATATATAATTGAGTAGTGACCTGTGACCAATGATTACTGACCCTGTATATAAGTGAGTAGTGACCTGTGACCAATGATTACTGACCCTGTATATATAAGTGAGTAGTGACCTGTGACCAATGATTACTGACCCTGTATATAAGTGAGTAGTGACCTGTGACCAATAATTACTGACCCTGTATATAAGTGAGTAGTGACCTGTGACCAATGATTACTGACCCTGTATATAAGTGAGTAGTGACCTGTGACCAATGATTACTGACCCTGTATATGAGTGAGTAGTGACCAGGACCAGATGATTACTGACCCTGTATATAAGTGAGTAGTGACCTGTGACCAATGATTACTGACCCTGTATATAAGTGAGTAGTGACCTGTGACCAATGATTACTGATCCTGTATATATAAGTGAGTAGTGACCTGTGACCAATGAGTGAGTAGTGACCTGTGACCAATGAGTAGTGACCTGTGACCAATGATTAATTACCCTGTATATAAGTGAGTAGTGACCTGTTACCAATGATTACTGACCCTGTATATAAGTGAGTAGTGACCTGTTACCAATGAAAATATGACCGTTTGAAAAAGTTTTGCACCAAACACGTTGACAAAGCCAAAAACATACACTACAAAAAATTCTTTGAACAACACAAAGATAATTCTAAGAAGCAGTGGCAGATGATTAACGGACTTCTGAATAGGAAACCAGCCAAACCTACATCGATAAAACTGTCGGACGAAAACGGACAAGTCAGCACTCCGGCAGCAGTAGCAGAAAAATTTAATGATCACTTCTCAAACATCGCTCCAAAAATTAAATCTGAAATTAGTAGTAGGACCACTTTCGATCCTGGTGGGGCCCAGGGGACACTACGTAACCCTTCTCCAAATAGTATCTACATAAAACCAGTCACAACTACCGAAGTTCAAGACGTTATTAACCTATTTAAGAATAAAGCTACTCTTGACACCAAAATCCAACCACTCAAAATTGCCAACAGCTGTCATAATTTTACCACTGTATTGGCCCACGTTGTTAACAGCTCGTTCGAACAAGGGGTCTTTCCTCAAGCCTTGAAAACGGCAAAAGTAGTTCCTGTACATAAAGGTGGATCTAAAACTGACATCAAAAATTACAGACCGATATCTCTACTTGCCACTTTCTCAAAAGTCTACGAAAAGCTTATGCACAATAGAGTCATAAATTTCTTGGATACCTACAATATTCTTTGTGAAAATCAATACGGCTTCCGCCCAGGTAGGTCTTGTGAACATGCACTTCTTAATGCTAAAGACAGAATCCTCAATTCAATGTCTAAAAAGCAAGTTACTTTGCTCCTTTTGATTGACTTTAGCAAAGCCTTTGACCTTGTGGATCACTCCATACTCCTGAATAAGCTCGAGCACTATGGCATAAGAGGTCTAGCTTTAAACTGGTTTAAATCATATCTTATGAACAGAAACCAGTTTGTATCAATTGGATCCTCTGAATCCCCAGCCAATCCAATTATTTACGGTGTACCCCAAGGTTCAATTTTGGGACCTCTCCTTTTTATAATCTACATAAACGATCTTCCTCAAATATCAGAAATAGCTAATTTCATCATGTACGCAGATGATGCAAACATTTTCTTAACAGGAGAAAATATAAACGAGGTTTATGATAAGCTCAAAATTCTTAGCGATGTCTTAGTTAAATGGGTAGATAGCAACGGATTAGCTCTAAATCTTAAAAAAACGAATTATATGATCTTTTCTCGACAAAGAAACCTCATTTATCGCGATGTAGTAATTTCTGGTGTCACAATCGAAAGAAAAACAGAAGCCCGTTTCTTAGGTGTTATAATAGATAACAAACTGAACTGGTCGCAACATATTTCTGCCATGAAAATGAAAATGGCCAGATACATTGGAGTCATGTACAAACTTAAAAAATATTTGCCTCTGGAAGCACGTTTACAAATATATCACAGCTTTGTGCAGTCTCACCTTAATTACTGCTCCCTCGTCTGGGGTTTTGCTGCCAAATCCCATATAGAAACACTATTTGTTAAACAGAAAATGGGTCTTAGAGCAATACTACCAGGTTTTGTTAATTACTGGTACAAAGATGGTACACCACCAGCAAGTACCAAGTCTGGTTTCTATGTACACAAAATATTGACAGTTCAAAGTATCATCGTGAAGAACGCATTAGTTTTTATACATAAGCTAAAAAACTTCCCAAGTCTAGTGCCTCCCTCTATAAAGAAAACAATACCTAACAGTGCACCAATATTTAACGTCGCCGATCCGGATTCGAGTCTTACAACTTTATGGTCAGATGAATACGGTAAACACCCTTACAATAATTCAGTATTCTACAAAGGTCCACTATTAGCAATAAACAGATATAGTGTCGCAGCAACTTCCTTGCCAAGTCTATTCAACCTTAACATCTACAAAAGGTGCATAAAAAACATGCTCATTGATCAACAAAACGAGGGCATTGCAGACGAATGGCCTAACTTTATGTTATACAATATTACGGGACTAAGGAAATCAGAGCGCAACATCAACCGTAATGCTAATAATAACTCTGTCCCATAAGCACGCCATCACAGAATCAATTTCACTGCATACCATCTCAGTTACACTGCCATCAATTCGCCAGCAAAAACGGCATGACGCTATGCGACTGATAACAGTCGTTAAATTTTTTTTTTTTTTTTTTTTTTTTTTTTTTTTTTTTTTTTAAATTTTGGAATAGCTAGCTAGCAGTAGCTATGCGCCTGTTTCCACTCTAACAACTCTAAAAGCATATTAATATGATAATTTCAACTAAAGGCAACTTTAAATGTGCTCAGCTATGTTTTGTTCGACAAGCTCTATTATATACATTTTAATCGTTTTAATGAGATCTAATCTTGTATGAGTTTTGAGTTTGAATTGATAACACTTATTATATATATTATTTTTTGAGTAAACATTGGCTGGTACTTCGGGCCGGTCCCCAACAAAAAAAAAAATGACTGACCCTGTATATAAGTGAGTAGTGACCTGTGACCAATGATTACTGACCCTGTATATATAAGTGAGTAGTGACCTGTGACCAATGATTACTGACCCTGTATATGAGTGACTAGATGACCAGGACCAGATGATTACTGACCCTGTATATAAGTGAGTAGTGACCTGATTACTGACCCTGTATATAAGTGAGTAGTGACCTGTTACCAATGATGACTGACCCTGTATATAAGTGAGTAGTGACCTGTGACCAATGATTACTGACCCTGTATATATAAGTGAGTAGTGACCTGTGACCAATGATTACTGACCCTGTATATATAAGTGAGTAGTGACCTGTGACCAATGATTACTGACCCTGTATATGAGTGACTAGATGACCAGGACCAGATGACCAGGACCAGATGACCTGTGACTCAATGTGATAACTGTGAGTAGTGACCAGGACCAGATGACCTGTGACTCAATGTGATAACTGTGTCCAGTATATAAGTAACCAGATGACCTGTGACCTGTGACCTGTGACCAGGACCAGATGACCTGTGACTCAATGTGATAACTGTGTCCAGGCGGAGCTATGGCTGACAGTGCAGACTTGGTGGTGCTAGGAGGATATCTAGGTACTGGTAACAAGGGCGGCATGTGCTCTATATTCCTCATGGGCTGCTTCTCGCCTGCTTCTAACTCCTGGAAAACTGTCTGTAAAGTAGGCAACGGGTCAGTTGGGTTGTAGGCAACGGGTCAGTTGGGTTGGCTTTTTTTGGGATTTTATGGTTTTTAAAAATTTTCCCCTTGTTTTTGTAACTTTATTTCGATTATTTTAAAATACAAAAATACATATATAATATATATATTATATATCAACGCAGCCAGAAGTTTCCATGATTGCATCATTTTAATACAATTTATCATGAGCTTTTGAAAACAGTCCGACGCTGAGCCCAAATTTCAGCAAAATAACGCCGTTTTTTTCGAACACTTTTTTTGATTCAAGCTGGTCAATCTGCAAGTTGCAGTGTCTTCTGGTGGGGTCTACTCACATAATATTACATTAAATCAAATGACCAAGTCAACTAACGGGTCCTAGCCAGATTGGACGTATATTGTACTGTACTGTAAATTAAGCTGTGATAAATTGTGATAGCTTGTTAGCAATAGTGACTTTAATATTTAATACATCGGATATCTGGAACTTGAAAAGGCAGTGGATGGAAATCTAGAGCCCGTCTATCAGCCTATGGCGTAACGAGCGGGGGGGGGGGGATCATGCGCAAATCTTGTTTCATTTAGAAATAGCAAATCGAAATATTATTATCTACGGTACGTAATATGTATTTTGACAACATGAACACCAAGAGCCCAGTTACGATGTAGCTTCCTCGCCATGTTCACTAAACGTTACCTACTATATATTTTTTGTTCCCTACAAGAGTTTAGCAAAGGTAGGGAAAATGTGTCCTCTTTAAAGTTCTAACACTTTTTTTGTAGTCATGACGACGCCACGTTAGAGAAATACAGCAACAAGATGAAACGCACTGGTAGAAAGATAAAAGGGGACTACAGTGCTATACCCACCTGGCTACATGTCAACAAAGGAATTGTGCCCGACTTTTTAGTTACGGACCCCAAACACTCTGATGTCTGGGAGATTACTGGTAATATTCTATTAACAAGCTGATTTAATAGATTACTGGTAATATTCTATTAACAAGCTGATTTAATAGATTACTGGTAATATTCTATCAACAAGCTGATTTAATAGATTACTGGTAATATTCTATTATTCTTGATAATTACTGGTAATATTCTATTAAAGCTGATTTAATAGATTATTGGTAGTTTTTTAGATAAACTTCAGAATCTCTAAATCTCTGACTCCATTATATTTGTCTCAGGAGCCGAGTTCAGTCAAAGCACGGTTCACACAGCGGCAGGGATAAGCATCAGGTTCCCCCGCATAACCAAGATCCGGGATGACAAGGACTGGAGCACGGCCACCAACCTGCCCCGCCTCCAGCAGCTCATGCGCACCAGTCAGGACAAGGCTGATATGGCCATCCAGCAGCTTATGATAAAAGAGGGAAAACTTTCAGTTCCCAAATTATTGGAGTCACCCAAAGAAACTAGAGTAACTCAGAAAAGAGGGGCTCTCGTTGCTACATCCTTCAAAGAGGAGTCACCCAAGAAGAAGTTAAAGCCAGGAAGCAATGCTAACATTTCTTCATTACATGAAAATTCTTCGCATTCAAAATGTTCCTCATCCAAGTTTGGTCCGCTACCAAATATCTTCAAAGGAGACAAAATATTTGTTTCCTCTAAAATAGCGGCTAAAGAGGTGTTATCTCGGTATGTGGTGGCGTACGGCGGGGAGGCGGTCACTAATAAGGAGTTAGCTGATGTGATTGTGTTATCTAAAGTTATACCGGACAAGCTCGGCAGGATAGTCACCAAACAATGGATCGTTAATAAGATAAATCAGTGAGCTACTGATAAATCAGTGAGCTACTGATAAATCAGTGAGCTACTGATAAATCAGTGAGCTACTGATAAATCAGTGAGCTACTGATAAATCAGTGAGCTACTGATAAATCAGTGAGCTACTGATAAATCAGTGAGCTACTGATAAATCAGTGAGCTACTGATAAATCAGTGAGCTACTGATAAATCAGTGGGCTACTGATAAATCAGTGAGCTACTGATAAATCAGTGGGCTACTGATAAATCAGTGAGCTACTGATAAATCAGTGAGCCACTGATAAATCAGTGGGCTACTGATAAATCAGTGAGCTACTGATAAATCAGTGGGCTACTGATAAATCAGTGAGCTACTGATAAATCAGTGAGCTACTGATAAATCAGTGAGCTACTGATAAATCAGTGAGCTACTGATAAATCAGTGGGCTACTGATAAATCAGTGAGCTACTGATAAATCAGTGAGCCACTGATAAATCAGTGGGCTACTGATAAATCAGTGAGCTACTGATAAATCAGTGGGCTACTGATAAATCAGTGAGCTACTGATAAATCAGTGAGCTACTGATAAATCAGTGAGCTACTGATAAATCAGTGAGCTACTGATAAATCAGTGAGCTACTGATAAATCAGTGAGCTACTGATAAATCAGTGAGCTACTGATAAATCAGTGAGCTACTGATAAATCAGTGAGCTACTGATAAATCAGTGAGCTACTGATAAATCAGTGAGCTACTGATAAATCAGTGAGCTACTGATAAATCAGTGAGCTACTGATAAATCAGTGATCTACTGATAAATCAGTGGGCTACTGATAAATCAGTGGGCTACTGATAAATCAGTGAGCTACTGATAAATCAGTGAGCTACTGATAAATCAGTGAACTACTGATAAATCAGTGATCTACTGATAAATCAGTGAGCTACTGATAAATCAGTGAGCTACTGATAAATCAGTGGGCTACTGATAAATCAGTGAGCTACTGATAAATCAGTGAGCTACTGATAAATCAGTGAACTACTGATAAATCAGTGATCTACTGATAAATCAGTGAGCTACTGATAAATCAGTGAGCTACTGATAAATCAGTGGGCTACTGATAAATCAGTGAGCTACTGATAAATCAGTGAGCTACTGATAAATCAGTGAGCTACTGATAAATCAGTGAGCTACTGATAAATCAGTGAGCTACTGATAAATCAGTGAGCTACTGATAAATCAGTGAGCTACTGATAAATCAGTGAGCTACTGATAAATCAGTGAGCTACTGATAAATCAGTGAGCTACTGATAAATCAGTGAGCTACTGATAAATCAGTGAGCTACTGATAAATCAGTGAGCTACTGATAAATCAGTGAGCTACTGATAAATCAGTGAGCTACTGATAAATCAGTGAGCTACTGATAAATCAGTGAGCTACTGATAAATCAGTGAGCTACTGATAAATCAGTGAGCTACTGATAAATCAGTGAGCTACTGATAAATCAGTGAGCTACTGATAAATCAGTGAGCTACTGATAAATCAGTGAGCTACTGATAAATCAGTGAGCTACTGATAAATCAGTGAGCTACTGATAAATCAGTGAGCTACTGATAAATCAGTGAGCTACTGATAAATCAGTGAGCTACTGATAAATCAGTGAGCTACTGATAAATCAGTGAGCTACTGATAAATCAGTGAGCTACTGATAAATCAGTGAGCTACTGATAAATCAGTGAGCTACTGATAAATCAGTGAGCTACTGATAAATCAGTGAGCTACTGATAAATCAGTGAGCTACTGATAAATCAGTGAGCTACTGATAAATCAGTGAGCTACTGATAAATCAGTGAGCTACTGATAAATCAGTGAGCTACTGATAAATCAGTGAGCTACTGATAAATCAGTGAGCTACTGATAAATCAGTGAGCTACTGATAAATCAGTGAGCTACTGATAAATCAGTGAGCTACTGATAAATCAGTGAGCTACTGATAAATCAGTGAGCTACTGATAAATCAGTGAGCTACTGATAAATCAGTGAGCTACTGATAAATCAGTGAGCTACTGATAAATCAGTGAGCTACTGATAAATCAGTGAGCTACAGATAAATCAGTGAGCTACTGATAAATCAGTGAGCTACTGATAAATCAGTGAGCTACTGATAAATCAGTGAGCTACTGATAAATCAGTGAGCTACTGATAAATCAGTGAGCTACTGATAAATCAGTGAGCTACTGATAAATCTGAGTTGAACTATGATACATCAGTGAACTACTGATAAATCAGTCAGTACACAATCATTATATACGTGGGTCTTGTTACATAGCCATAAGCCATGTTTTATAAATTTGAGACTAACATCTTTGCCAGTTGGCATACTGTAACTACTCATTCGAGGATTTCTATCATCAAAATTTGATTCAATATTAAATTGCTTATATAATTTTTACTGAATCTTATAGGAAAAAATCGTAGTGTTAATACAGTATTATATAATATATATAGGTTCAATAAAAAAATTAGCTCAATACTTTTAAAAAATGACAAAAAAATTGTTATTACAACGACAGACTTGACCAAATTAAAAACAAAGCTTTTTAAAGTGGCGAATTTTTCGAATGTGCGATTATTTAGAAAAAAAAATTAATGTGCCCATATTTTCCTAATATCTAGTCATATGGCGGGTCCAACCATAAACGGTTTTGGTGTATGTCCCCTAAATGTACTAAATGTACTAAATGTACACTAACCTGATCCCACATAATGAGCAAATTATACATTTAACATTATAATACAATAATACCTTCGCTTCTAAGAGCTCTAAGATGACGCATTCATTAACCTCATCACATCTCCGCAAGCAACCCTTTTGCGCTGCACGCGTCTAGTTGTCTAATAATATAATATATAATAATCTAGTTGTCTAGTTGTCATGGTAACGGATGGAAGTAAGGACTGACGAAATATTTAAACCCACCTACCTCGTTCTCCAAAATCCCTCTTTTTCTGCAAAAACGACCATTCGTAACCTTTCACTATTGCTGTTTTACAAAAGGTTGTGAATGGAAAAAATTAGCACAGTTATTATTTTATTTGATATATTCCTTGAATGAGTGGTCATTATCAGTGATTGATCTTTGTATTTTGTAGTCAAGTATTTTCAATGATTTATACAGAATTGATAGTCTCTGTGTAGGCAGAACGGACATAAAGACGTTTTTAAGTCTATTTAAATTTACACAGAGACTATCAATTCTGTTTCTCTAATAGAGGAATATAGTTATTTTAATTTAAAGTATAATACTATAAACTACTTTAGACTTCTTTAATTATTAATGAGCCGTTGTGTATTGTCGTCTAATTTGATGTACTTTAGTTCTTTCAAAGTTTGGATTGAGGGTCTACTTGAAAATAGAACGCTAACTTCAACCGTCAAATTTAAAAGGAATTACTGCTGTCAGTGTATATACCTCACGCTTTAAAGGTTATATTAAAATAACAATCCCTCTTACAACGCACTCTGGACGCACTTCCTGTGCGTGCCGGCGTTGTGTGTGTTGTAACCACGCATTAATGTATGCTTATCTTTCACAGTTAGGTAAATATGGCCTCGAATCGGCTGTGGGTGGGCGGTTTCGACAGACCTATTGAAAAAGCTGAACTATGTGAGGTGTTCTCGGAGTTTGGTCCTATAACCGACGTGTGGGTGGCGTTCAACCCTCCCGGCTATGCTTTCATTGAGTTTGAGAAGGACGAGCAGGCACAGAAAGCCATGGTAGCAATGAACCAGACCATATGTCTGGGTTGTAAGATTACAGTTCAGACGTCTAAGAAGAGTGGGTATCAGGGCAAGCTGGAGTGGGATCAAGAAATGAAGGACAAGGTCAAGGGGTCCAGGTAAGGTGACATTCCGTTTAGCTAGCGTGCACTTCAGTAATAATTGTTAGAGCCGTTGTTTCCCAGTTGGATAAGGCATGGCTCCAGCTGAAAATCTTTGGGTTGGTTCAGCGTGGCGGGGGGGGGATGGGGGTATGTGAAGCCCCCTGGAAAATTTTGGAATTTTACTCTCCTAGACGTATTTCAATATCTCTCAAAACAGTCTCAGTAGAAGTCAGAATAATGTATATTACAATAGTTTATACAAAATTTGATAATTTTGGTGTAAACATTTTCAAATCTTTTGGTGCGCACCCACCTGCACCTACACGGTGGAGCCATGCCTGAGTAAGATATGATATTGATGAGCCTGGCACAACATCGTTTGATTGTTACTGTTGTAATCAATGTTGCATCAGGATTTACATCGGAAATATTGTCGACAAGATAAACGTTGGCCAACTAAACGGAGCATTTGAAGAATTTGGAAATATAGTGGACATATCCGTTAACAAGGAGGGGTTTGCGTTTGTAGAGTTTGAGCACGAAGGAGAGGCGTCGCGTGCAGTGGAGGAAACAAACGGTACAGAGATATTCGGGGGGTTCCTGGAGGTGGAGATAACGGCGCACAAAGGGAACCATCTGCCGGTGCACAAAAAATATTTGAAACAGAAACCTGGAGAACTACCGTCAGCAGACAAAGCCGAGCAAAGTGACAATCCTTTAACTAGGTAATAAGGAATTCTCTGAATTATAATAATAATATCTAGATGCATCATAAATCATAATCAAACAACAACAACAACAACAGCACATATTATTATAATAGTATATAATATTATAATATATAATATAGAACTAATGAAACAAAGTTCAAATGACAAGTTCAACTTCAAGTTTCATACTATAGCAATTAAACTATATAGCAATTAAACTAAAGCAATCGTCAGGAACTTAGATTAGATCTAAAAATATTATCTTAAGACAGTTTGCTCCTTCATAAACTTTAACAGCATAGCAACTGTGCATTATTAGGAATTTCCTTGAGTGCCTGCATTTTGAGACAAGCTCGGTTGATGGAGTTCAAATTTTTGATGATGATGAGCTTTTCTGTCAGGCACAAGTTGCACGTTCTCGCACCAAGCTTTTATGATTGGTATTTTGTTAATATTTGCCAGTCAATGGTGTATTTTATATTGCCTCTCTTGAGTCTCCATATGAGTTTGAATAACTATGTTCGTAGGCCTCGTTCTTGAAGCTTTGGCAATGATTTCACCAACGCTGCGCTTTTTGAAAACGTTTTCAGTCAGGCCTATGTGTGAATATGAGGCTCCGTCTTCCGGTATTACATTGGCCTGGATCAATTGATCTGATCTGACATTTTCCCGGCACTGCATGAATGGACAATTCGTCTTGTTTCTACAGTTGCAAGTTGCGGAATCTTGGTCAGTGGAGTCACCTTGTTATAATTTGAGAACCTTTTGGTTGTAGCCGGCCAACGTTGTGCATACAACAGTAGCTTAATTTTACCGTGTTTCTGTTGATGACCTTGTGGAGGTGGTGGTGCTTTGGGAAATACTTGTCTAGGATGTTGAAGAACTTCTTCCCAATATTAGTTTCCACATTTGAGGTTAAAGGTGGATTAAATCATGGTACATCTCTTTTTATACCCACAATACATCTCTTTCTTTTTCGACGAGTCTGCTCTCAAATGCAAACATAGTGGTTTTGCTGAAATTCCTAATAATCCACTGTTGCTGAGTTTATGAAGGAGCAAACTGTCTTAAGAGAATATTTTAGATCTAATTTAAGTTCCTACGATTGCTTTAGTTTAATTAAACTGAAACTTGAAGTGGAACTTGCCATTTGAACTTTGTTTCATTTGCTATTTACTTTGCTCCTTGACATCAAGTTGAACGCTGTAGTGCCGATAAAGGAAATAAGACCATATTATAGTATTATAATATTATTATGTCATATTATTTTAATATGGATAAAGCTTATCAGATTTTCAGTTAGACTTTTTCCAGGCTTTTCCTTGGAAACCTCAACCGGGAAGTGACCAAAGATGAGATGAATACAGTGTTCGAGGACTTCGGAAAAATCAAAGAAATATGGGTGCCTTATACTTTCAAAGGGTTAGTATAGGCTAATATAAGAGCCTTACTGTTGCTGTAAAGATGTCCAGTCCCTTCCTTTGCATAGGTTAAACCCGTGCACCTCCTCACACCGCATGGAGGTTCGGCGAGGTTTTCGTGGGGCTGCTTGCTATATATATATATATATAGCAAGCAGCCCCCATAGTTATATATATGAACACGTTCATTGAATATCAAATGATGGAGTGGTTCGCTGTTTATTAGTTTCATGATTGAAATACTGATAGTTGGATAATATCCGGTTGGAAGAGACAAGGACAAATGAAACAAGAAGTTAGGAATGTAGGCAAATTTTCGGCGTCAACGCCATCTTCAGGCTGCGAGAAACTTGAGGGAACTCAGAGTGCAAGAAACTTAAGGGATTTCTTTTACAACATATTCAGATACAAATTTAAACAAATAGCACACGACCCTCATGTTCGGTAGATATTATGTACTTGAACAGAGTGTAAAACGTGTGTACATCACCATTTTATGTAATACTAGAAAACCCGTGGTCACAGGCCACAGGGAGGAACCTAATAGTATTCTTTGGGAGTCAGTTTTAATCGTGTCAAAAAGTATTCATCGCCACCGAAGATACAGCCAAATAAAATGTAGCTCGCACCGAACACAACGTATTTACCACAAAACCGATCAAAATTACGTTAAAACAATCATTGCACATGCGTGTAACAATCCTCGTTACTATGGTTACTCTGCAAACTTTTGCTTTTTACGTAATTTGCACGTGGGCGGTCGTACAGTGTACGTACAAACATTGTACAAAAAGAATTTTCTGAATTATAGTAGAGATAATGTAATACCATTTGATGTAACCTGTATTCAGTGTGTGTAATTTTAATTTAGCATTTTAACCAGTTAAAGTATAGAACCAGTTTAAGTATATATAGAACCAGAACTATAATTGTATACTATTACTAACATTTGTACCAATTTTAGCCTGAAGGCTGAAGATGGCGTTGACGTTGAAAATTTGCCTACATTCCTAACTTCCTGTTTCATTTTTCCTTGTCTCTTCCAACATAATATATATAATGTATAATATATAGGATACAAGGATACAAAAGTGATAATTGCTTTATTAAGTATATATAATATAATAATATATCAATTATATAGGGTGTCCCAAAAACGCAGTGATGAGTGTCAATGACTCTATATTTGAAAACGTAATTCCTTATTTTATCAATTAGTTACAATTCTCATATTTTTCAAATCTTTTTTTTCGAGGTAGACACTTCTGCAGGTAGTTGTGAGTTGTTCTTGTGATTTTCTATCGGTGTGCAAAATTTTAAGACCACATCTCAAAATACTTTCAACACTACTATGTAACAAATAATTTGAGATCATGAATAAGATGTTGTAACATTGAAACGTTGAGTAAATTCCTTCCCTGATAAGAGCATTTTTCCTTGTCGCATCAAACGGGATCAATAAAAATTTACACAAGAATACATCACATCTCAAAAGCTGGATGTTTGGTGATCATAATATTTCTATTTTGGCCAAATCAGGTGTCTGATATTGGAGACGAGGAAGATTTTGACTCCTAGAAGGGGTTTTTAAAAACCCCATTTTTGCCATTGTTAGGGTTTTTCGGCCAAAAGCCCATAACATCCAATCACAATTGAAATGTAAGGAAGTGTTAATTGGGTAAAAATACTCTTATTTATTCATTTATAACAGATTGCTGCAACAAAACTGATTGATCAGGTACATCATTACCTACATACATACAGACTACAGAGTAAAGCTATACTAATACATCATACAGACTACAGAGTAAAGCTATACTAGTACATCATACAGACTACAGAGTAAAGCTATACTAGTACATCATACAGACTACAGAGTAAAGCTATACTAATACATCATACAGACTACAGAGTAAAGCTATACTAGTACATCATACAGACTACAGAGTAAAGCTATACTAATACATCATACAGACTACAGAGTAAAGCTATACTAGTACATCATACAGACTACAGAGTAAAGCTATACTAGTACATCATACAGACTACAGAGTAAAGCTATACTAGTACATCATACAGACTACAGAGTAAAGCTATACTAGTACATCATACAGACTACAGAGTAAAGCTATACTAATACATCATACAGACTACAGAGTAAAGCTATACTAGTACATCATACAGACTACAGAGTAAAGCTATACTAGTACATCATACAGACTACAGAGTAAAGCTATACTAGTACATCATACAGACTACAGAGTAAAGCTAAACTAGTACATCATACAGACTACAGAGTAAAGCTATACTAGTACATCATACAGACTACAGAGTAAAGCTATACTAGTACATCATACAGACTACAGAGTAAAGCTATACTAGTACATCATACAGACTACAGAGTAAAGCTATACTAATATTATACTAGTACATCATACAGACTACAGAGTAAAGCTATACTAGTACATCATACAGACTACAGAGTAAAGCTATACTAGTACATCATACAGACTACAGAGTAAAGCTATACTAGTACATCATACAGACTACAGAGTAAAGCTATACTAGTACATCATACAGACTACAGAGTAAAGCTATACTAATACATCATACAGACTACAGAGTAAAGCTATACTAGTACATCATACAGACTACAGAGTAAAGCTATACTAGTACATCATACAGACTACAGAGTAAAGCTATACTAGTACATCATACAGACTACAGAGTAAAGCTATACTAGTACATCATACAGACTACAGAGTAAAGCTATACTAATATTATACTAGTACATCATACAGACTACAGAGTAAAGCTATACTAGTACATCATACAGACTACAGAGTAAAGCTATACTAGTACATCATACAGACTACAGAGTAAAGCTATACTAGTACATCATACAGACTACAGAGTAAAGCTATACTAGTACATCATACAGACTACAGAGTAAAGCTATACTAGTACATCATACAGACTACAGAGTAAAGCTATACTAATATTATACTAGTACATCATACAGACTACAGAGTAAAGCTATACTAATATTATACTAGGTACATCATACAGACTACAGAGTAAAGCTAAACTAATATTATACTAGTACATCATACAGACTACAGAGTAAAGCTATACTAATATTATACTAGTACATCATACAGACTACAGAGTAAAGCTATACTAATATTATAACTAGTACATCATACAGACTACAGAGTATAAGCTATACTAATATTACTAGTACATCATACAGACTACAGAGAAAGCTATACTAATATTATACTAGTCATCATACAGACTACAGAGTAAAGCTATACTAATATTATACTAGTACATCATACAGACTACAGAGAAAAGCTATACTAGTATTATACTAGTACATCATACAGACTACAGAGTAAAGCTATACTAATATTATACTAGTACAACATACAGACTACAGAGTAAAGCTATACTAATATTATACTAGTACATCATACAGACTACAGAGTAAAGCTATACTAATATTATACTAGTACATCATACAGACTACAGAGTAAAGCTAAACTAATATTATACTATTACATCATACAGACTACAGAGTAAAGCTATACTAATATTATAACTAATACATCATACAGACTACAGAGTAAAGCTATACTAATATTATACTAGTACATCATACAGACTACAGAGTAAAGCTATACTAATATTATACTAATACATCATACAGACTACAGAGTAAAGCTAAACTAATATTATACTAATACATCATACAGACTACAGAGTAAAGCTATACTAGTACATCATACAGACTACAGAGTAAAGCTATACTAGTACATCATACAGACTACAGAGTAAAGCTAAACTAATATTATACTAGTACATCATACAGACTACAGAGTAAAGCTATACTAATATTATACTAGTACATCATAAGACTACAGAGTAAAGCTTATACTAATATTATACTAGTACATCATACAGACTACAGAGTAAAGCTAAACTAATATTATACAAGTACATCATACAGACTACAGAGTAAAGCTATACTAATATTATACTAGTACATCATACAGACTACAGAGTAAAGCTATACTAATTTATACTAGTACATCATACAGACTACAGAGTAAAGCTATACTAATATTATACTATTACATCATACAGACTACAGAGTAAACTATACTAGTAAAACAACAGACACGAGAAAGCAAAAACAATTTTATACTATACACATACAACTACAGAGTAAAGCTAACAATAAATACAGTACATCATACAGACACAAAAAGCTAAACAATATATACTATACTCAACAACACAATAAAGCATACAAAATTTTATAACTAATACATCAACAGACACAATAAAGCTATACAATATTAAATACATCATACAGACACAAGAAACTAAACTAATATTAACTAGACATCAACATAAACAGAGAAAAAGCTATACAAAATATATAACAGACCATACAACTACAATAAAGCTAAAACTAAAATACAGTACATATACAGACTACAGGTAAAGCAACTAATATTAAAACAATACATCATACAATACAGAGAAAAAGCTTACAAATTTTTAAACAGTACACATACAGACTACAGAGTAAAGCTATACTAATTTTAACTATACATCTACAACTACAAAAAAAGCATACAAATTTTATAACTAATACATCATACAGACTACAGTGTAAAGCTATACTAATATTATACTAGTACAGTCATACAGACTACAGAGTAAAGCTAAACTAATATTATAACTAATACATCATACAGACTACAGAGTAAAGCTATACTAATATTATAACTAGTACATCATACAGACTACAGAGTAAAGCTATACTAATATTATACTAGTACATCATACAGACTACAGAGTAAAGCTATACTAATATTATAACTAATACATCATACAGACTACAGAGTAAAGCTATACTAATATTATAACTTATACATCATACAGACTACAGAGTAAAGCTCTACTAATATTATACAAGTACAATCATAC